ACCGTTCGCGGTCTTGAGACTCCCGGCGTGTCTACTTTTGCACAGACACCCGGGCGGCTAGCTCATAACACTCCTCGCCGTGAGACTCCCGGCGTGTCGGCTTTCACACCGACACCCGGGCGCCCAGCTCACACCGTTCGCGGTCTTGAGACTCCCGGCGTGCCTGCTGTTGCAGTGACACCCGGGCGGCCAGCTCACAACATTCTCCGTCATGAGACTCCCGGCGTGTCGGCTTTCACACCGACACCCGGGCGCCCAGCTCACACCGTTCGCGGTCTTGAGACTCCCGGCGTGTCTCCTTTTGCACAGACATCCGGGCGGCTAGCTCATAACACTCTTCGCCGTGAGACTCCCGGCGTGTCGGCTTTCACACCGACACCCGGGCGCCCAGCTCACACCGTTCGCGGTCTTGAGACTCCCGGCGTGCCTGCTGTTGCAGTGACACCCGGGCGGCCAGCTCACAAAATTCTCGGTCATGAGACTCCCGGCGCGTCTGCCTTTGCACTGATCCCCGGGCGTACAGCTTCCACTGTTCCCGGTCCTACGCTACCCGAAGCAACTGCATTTGAGTTGGACCCTAATGCGATTCCCTTTCAGCCAAAGGCCGGCACGATCCCCAGCGTCAGAGCCGCTTTGAAGTTCTCAACACCAAGGATGGTCGCTCTGGATGGCCGGCCGCTAATGGACTCGCACCAGCCGACGGGGGTAGGAACAACCTCACTAAACGAGGAACCGACATTGCTCATCCCAGCTGTGAGTAGAATCGAATCTACACCCAAGTCTCTTGAACCTCGTATGACTGTGAATGTACTAGGTATGCCAGTAGCCGCTCTTTTAGATACTGGAGCAAACATATCGCTTATTGGGGATGCAGTATTTGCGGAATGTAACAAGAGAAAGATACATCTTCGGTCAGCAAACGTGAAATTGCAAGTAGCATCGGGGTCCGTACTGCCTGCTGCCGGCGCAGTCAGGTTACGAATTTCCTTTCATGGTAGAAAACGAAGACAACGGTTCGTATACCTCCCAGAACTGCCGGTGCCCATGATCCTTGGTAGAGATTTTATTGCAGCGGAGCGGGTTTTGCTCGACTTTGCCCAGGCTGGATATTGGTTGGGTGGCGAAACGAAATTAACGCCGTTTACCAGACGGCAGGATTGTATTCGCGGCCAAGCGTTCCCGTTAAACTTTGCCGGGCAGATGCCTTTACTTCCAGACAGCGTGCTCAAAGCCGTGCAAAAGTGTTCCGGTGAAGACAAACAGAAGCAGCTCCAGCAACTGCTGGAACCCTTCTCGCCGATGTTCACGGAAAGACCTGGGAAAACCGATCTCCTACAGCACCGCATCGAAACCAAGGATGCACCTCCCCGGAGGTGCAATCCGAGACCCATAAGTGCTCACAAGCGCGAACTTCTTGATGCGGCGCTATTGGAAATGATCGACACAGGCGCAGTACGTCAGTCAAAAAGCCCGTGGGCTTCCCCGGTAGTCCTTGCTCCAAAGAAGGACGGCACAGCAAGGCTTTGTGTTGATTACAGGCGCCTAAATGAAGTGTCAGTCAGAGACAGTTACCCGTTTCCTAGTATTTCCTCAGTAATGTATGCCCTTGGAAACGCGACTGTTTTCACAACCCTCGATTGCAGCCGCGGATTTCTTCAAATCGAAGTTCATCCGGCTGATGTAAAGAAGACCGCATTCATTTGCCATAGGGGGTTGTTCGAATTCACTCGCCTTCCCTTTGGTTTGTCCAACTCTCCCGCCAGCTTTCAACGCCTAATGGACGTTGTCCTCGGTGACGCGAAGTACGAGTTTGCGATGGCGTACATGGATGACGTAGTGGTCTTTTCACGAACATTCGAGGAGCATCTCGTGCACCTTCAGATCATACTCGAACGAATGCGTCAAGCCGGCCTTACGATTCATCCAGATAAAGTCCAGTTGGCATCGCCTGTAATCAACCTTCTCGGATTTGTTGTGGATAACGGAACGCTGCGGCCGAATGAAGATAAGCTGCGCGCAATAACGGAGTACCCACCCCCTTATGACGTCAAAAGCCTACAGAGATATCTCGGGATGATTGCGTTTTATAGAGATTTTATTCCGCAATGCGCTGAGATAACTGAACCCCTGAACCGATTGCTCCGCAAAAAAACGAAATGGTGCTGGGGGCAAGAGCAGCAAACCGCATTCGCGTGTCTTTCAAGGGCTGTGACTGAAAACGCGTGTTTAAACCTGCCCGACTTGAATCGTCCGTTCGTCTTGCAGACCGACGCAAGCGATTACGGATTAGGAGCAGTCCTTCTGCAGGAACATGACAGCGTTCTTCGTCCCGTAGCTTTCGCCAGTCATACGTTAACCGGAGCGGAGCGAAACTACTCAACAACCGAAAAAGAGTGCCTGGCAATTATTTTTGCGCTTAAGAAGTTTGACATGTACCTTGACGGCGCTTCGTTTAGCATTCAAACTGACCACATGGCTCTCTCGTGGCTCAAAGGGCTTCAAAACCCTGCAGGACGACTCGCTCGATGGGCCCTTTCGCTCCAGCGCTACAAATACACAATCGAGTACAAGCGTGGAGTGGCTAACCACGTTGCAGATGCGTTGTCCCGTGCTCCACTTCTCGGGCAGGAAATGCAGGTGGATCCCGACTTGGTGGCACTGGCCAATGCGGCGCCCATCACACCAGAGTCGCGGTGGGGAACCCTGGTGAGCAGAGAGGAGCTCCGAGCGGCCCAGCTGTCCGATGGACTTTGTCAGAAGGTGATGCACCAGCTGGCAGAAGAAAACTCAGCCGACGCTGGGAATCCCAGAGACTTGGACTCATACCTGCTCAGCAGCGACGGCATCCTGCTGCGATACATCCCCCAGGCGGACGATGGGTCCAGCGGCCCGCCATTCCGGTCTGTAATACCACGTAAACTGCGTAAGTCATTTATAAGATATATGCATGATCCCGCCTTGGCAGGCCACAGCAGTGGGAGCAAAACGTACGAAAAGTTGTCCCAAATTGCAACGTGGCCAGGTATGAGGCAGGATGTGATGAGGTACGCTCGTAGCTGCCCGGTTTGTCAGAAGGCAAAACCCCGAGGTGGCCAACCACCAGGTTTAATGCAGTCGGTCAAAAGCAAGTACCCCTGGGAGTGTGTTGCCTGCGACGTTGTCGGTCCCTTTCCCCGTAGTCCACGCGGCAATCAGTATTTGCTAGTAGTGACCGACCATTTCACAAAATGGGTCGAAATGTTTCCTTTGCGCAAACTAGACTCTAAGAAAATCTGGGACTGTCTTCTCGAGACGTTCGCGCGCTTTGGCTTTGCCGGAACGCTTATTACAGACAACGCTTCTTATTTTGTTAGCAAGGTGTTCGTGGATGCGTGTAAGGCGCTAGGCATACGGCACAAACGGACTTCGCCCTACCATCCACAGGCGAATATCACGGAAAGAGTGAACCGTAACCTGAAGCAGATGCTTGTATCGCATACAGAGCGACACAAAGACTGGGACGCGAAATTAGCAGAAATGGCATTCGCTACCCGCACAACAATCAACCGGTCCACGGGTTTTACTCCGGCCCAACTTAACTTTGGAAAAGAGCTCGTGTTTCCCCTGGGAAACGGCCTCCTTTGCACAGATCCTGCAAGCACGCAGCGCACAACCACGCAGTTCGCAGAAGATCTCCGGAAGCGTTTCACGGAGAACCTGCGTGAAGCTCGAGAGAGCCTCGACGTCTCGAGACTGCAGCAGGCAAACCAGTACAACAAGGGGAGGCGAAATCTGCAGTTCAAGGTAGGAGATCTGGTACTGAGGCGAACTCATCCGCTGAGTGATGCTGCTAGAGGCTTCACGGCCTCTTTAGCAAAGAGGTGGGATGGCCCCTACCGTGTTAGTAGCAAGCTCTCCAACCTGTCTTATGAGCTGGTGCATTGTGAATCTGGTGAAGTGTGCGGGTCTATTCATGTCGCCGACCTAAAAGCTTTCTATGAACCCGAGGAGGTAGATGTGTCGCAGGTTCCAGATGACGACTATCCGGACCACCTCTCGGAAGATTCCACACCGTCTCTACCGCGGTACAACTTGAGACGGCGGTGAAGACGACCGGGAGTAGCACGAGTTCTAAGCGTATTATCTTCATGCCCTCTTCGGTGTTTTGGGGGGGGAGAAGAGAAATGGTCCGCGCTCCCGCATGCACAGTGGGACAGGCATCTTTCGTGTGCGCGGCTACTTTTTCCTACCGCGCCATGGCCTCATGTTGTTTTTAATTTCTAGTTCCTCGTGCCAGACAGCGGCGACGCAGCTCCCATCATCAGACCACCCCCCATGGCTGCATCGGTACTGTCCGGAAGTACTGACGTCGGACCCGTGCTCGCTCATCTGAGAAGACCCTTGCTGACCAAGAAGGAAGGCCCCCCCGAAGACCATCAAAGACGTCCTCTGTTTTCGTTTTTGGAAGGGGGGAGATGTGTGGGCAACCTGGCGATTCCAAGCGGTTGGCCCAGGCTGCCCCTCCGACAATCATAAGTGGTCATCTTGGCCACGAGGGGGCCAAGGGCAACTGGCCACGCGAGCGGCGCTCCGCCGCTGATAAAAGGCCGTCGCAGCGGATGCGCGGGGGCTGTTGGGATCGCGGCGCAGGCGATAGCGGTCATTAAATGTTTACGTGTTGTTGAACCGGTGTGCTGTGTCATTCTCCGAGACGGGTAGCAGCAAGGGAAATCCCACAACTTTCCTAAATAGACTTTTTTTTTTTTTTTTTTGCAGGAAGGATTTGTTTGACGAACACCGACATGTCTTGCATGTTCTGGAACTTTAGTACTGACATACTTTAAATTTAATAATAAGACGTACAAAATAATGGAAGTTCTTTTTTGTATGTTTGATCAACAACAAAAAAAGTCTTTATTTTATTTTTAAGATCTCGCTAACCTTGGCGCGCAGAACCTCTGATTACTGCCACACCAACCCGAAAGCTCCAACTGGCAAAGTCCCAAGAGCAGTACCGCACCTAGGACATATCCAGTAGCAACGAGTTTCTCCGCTTGTTTTCGCCCCTGCCGTATTTTGTTCGCGCGCCCAAGCTTGAACCAAAAGAAAATAAAGACAGCGATCGCTATACACCACACGCATGTGCGCACATGAACAAAGCGCGCCACTTATATCCTTCGCGCCTGACCGATCAAAAAAATATATCGCTTATTACGTCTGATAGTGAAGGTGCCTCTACGCTTCACTTGCAGCAAGCGCCAGAGCGTGCACCACACCGTGCATGTTTGCACATATTATGAAATCGAAACGAGCCATAGGACCGGCAAGCTTGTTCCAAGAATGCACCCCCCCCCCCCCCTTTTTTTTCAAAAAAGAAAAATGAAAGGAATAATAGACACCCGCAGTTATCCTTTCAACCCATTCGCTTCTTTATGTGGAGAGAGTAGGTTTGATCGTTTCACCAATGCAGTTTCACTCGCCGGCGAACTGCCGCTCAGCAACGGGTGCGCGCGCGGTGGAATGCGGCTCTAAGCCCTCCAAGACAGGTTTCTTTCCCCCTCACCTACCTCACCTGTCGTTCCCCCTCGGCTTCCGGCGGCGAGTTCCTTCGACGAGTCAGCCAGCCAGCCGCCAACCAGCCAGCCAGCGAGGTGCTACCCTCGAAACGAAACACTTTTATTTTTCTCCGGTTTCCAGGTGATCGGGTTCCCACCACCTGTCATCGTGTTCCAAGACCAACGGAACCGGGAACTCACTCTCTCTACCTCGGTGGTGTAAACTAGAACCCAGCGGTGTCGTGGGCTTTGCTGTGCCGTGGCATGGCGGTGGTGGTACCGCGCCATGAACTCCACCTACCCTAGCTGGTGGAGGACCTCAGCTCGCTGAGAGCTGGCCGCGGGACAGTCCGGGATGCAAGTATGGACTCTGGTGCTGGGCTGGGTGCTGGTGCTGTGTCCCACCAGCACTCGAGGGCACGTGGCGCTCACGTTCCCACCGGCCAGGCGCTACGATTTGGATTTCCTCGACAACGGGCGCACCAAAGCACCGTGTGGGATGCCAAGAAGTACGTACCGCTGCCTTTTGCGCTCTTGTCGTTACTATATATACTGTATATACATTATACAAACCGTGTCAGTTTTGACCGTTTTACTGTTTCCCCAACTGGGAACGGTCAAACCAGTTGACTCCCAATGTCTGCATCCGTCTAGTTAACTGGTCCCAGTTGGACCCTCGAGCTGACCCTATCCCATTTGGGACCAGTTTTGATTCCCAGTTAAGGAACCTGTAATTCCACATTGGGACAAGTTGATTACCGGTTGGGATTTCAACTTTTCACATGGGAAATTTCGTGTCATAAATATTAATTAGTGTCTACATCCCTCACGCGCCGATGTAACGATCGGCCTCTTGTCCCGGTCAAGGCACATCTTGTTCTGGCCATGACGTAACGTCGTGGCAGGAAAATGGGACTACGCGATTGATGCCCCCGAAGGCTTTTGAGCTGCGTGCTTTATTACATGTCTCGGGTCAACCTCGCATCCTGGCGAGAGCGTTTTCTGCGATCATATGTTCGCTTCGCGTGCCTGCCCGCTCGCAAGAAGCGGCGCGCTCGTTCCGCTTCCGGGTGCATCGCCGTCGAGGTGAGCCGCACCGCCCCGTGCCCGCGGATGCTCAAGATGCTGATGAGCTGCATGCTTGAGCTGGCGCGCGCTCATGTTGTGAACTCTGGCGACCCTGGAACGGGTCCGTTTTCCAGCGAGCCGCGCCTGTTCCTGCTGGGGTGTTTGAATTCGTCTGCTCTCCTATTAATAGACCGAAAGTCGCAAACCCTAGGTCCACAGACGTTCAGCAACTTCATTTGAAAACACGATCAGCCAAAGAACACCAAGAATTTCTGGATATCTAAGAAATGTTTATGAACCTTCAATTTCTAGAACACACCAAGAGTTTCTGGACACTTAAGGAAGTTTATGTAACTTCAATTAGCAAAATACACGAAGAGTTTCTGGACACCTAAGGAAGCTTGGTGAGGCTTCGATTTTTAAAAGATATCAAATGTTTACGGACACCTAAGGAAGGTTATGTGGCTTCGATATCTAAAAGCAAAAAACACCAAGAGCTTCTAAACATCTCAAGAAAGCTTGTACTTTCATGTTCTAAAAATAAGACAAATAAACATATATTTTTGTTTATAAGTGAGTTTAGCCACGTATTAATCGTTTTTTGAATCTCGCCGTGACCTGCGCCCCCTGGCTGGCGTGTCGTTAAAAAAAAAGGGAACGTTTTAGGTCAAAGCCCACTTTTAGATCGTTGCAGGCCTGCGGCGTAAATTCGGGGACATCAAATCAGTGCCCCCCTTTTTTCTTTTCAAAGTAAAAGAAAAAAACTTCTTTCTTTTTTAAAGGAGAGGGGAATTCAGAGGCGCGCTTGTCCGCTTGTCCACGCGTGACCTCGCCGGGCTCAAGGACGACCGGCCGCTCCGACCGGCCTCAGGCGTTGCAAAAAGGGTCTCCCACTTCATTCAGTACAAGCAGCGGAATCTCGCAACAATTCCCCGCTTGTAAGGAAAAAAAACAAAACAAAACAAAAAAGAAATTACGAAGAAATGAAACGAGGAAAATGATAGAATGGGCGCATAGTTTGGAAGGGAGACATGCTCAGACGGACAGACTGATGGCGTTTCGTTTACTTTTCTTACACACTTGTTACGTGTTCCCTTCTAATAAACCGTTAACGCCATGTTTTTTTTTTCTTTACCAGGAAATAAAAAAAAAACAAGAAAAGAAAATTGGTCGTGCCAGGCGGGAGTTTTTCAGCACAATGCTCTCTGGCAATTAAACAGACCAGTGCACAAGGTGTAATTATAACGCGTAACCGCCCGGGAAGCACTTCGGGGGAGAAATCCGTGAAAAAGTTCCTCATTCTGATGGTGGCAAACACACCAGAATAAAATACAAAATAAAAATAGATTTTGAAACAGGTCCATAAAACAGGAAGCTATTTGGCATCCTCAAAGGATGCAATTATGTCCCGGCTGGAATTAATGTGAAAGTTCACCGGATTCCCCTGTCAAAATGAAAAAGGAAAAATAAAAAATAAATAAAAAAATGTGTATGTGCATGAATCAGCAGTTATGTCTATTTCAAGCAGCATGCCATGAGCAATGAACTTGCTTCCGTTGCATTGTTCAGGACTTTTTGAGTTTAATGAACACAAGTATATTTTCACGATCATTTGCAGCAGTGCCATCATCTTGATGGCGCTGCTGTACTAAATCTTTCTAAAAAAACATATATCTTCTTTTTTTTTTTTGTGATTACAATTATTATGGTTAGCTACATAAAGATGAACAATTTTAATTTTGTTCAAGGTGGAGCAGTGACATGGCAAAGGGCACAACTCCATCCTGCATAGCAGAAAAAGCTATAGGGTGTTTTCACTGACGAAATTTCGTCCACCATTTTGTCGTTGTGAGCTGTCTGGCGTGTGCCAAACTCGAGCATTCCAAGGATTTACATGCCCCCTCAAATCCGTAGAGCACCGCTGACATCATCTCAACCGGTTACGATGTAATCCTTCAATGTAATAAATTTCTTTGAAAAAACAAACTAACAACAAAATGGCGAATTGACGTCATGTGCAAACAACCTATTCCTATCCTGTGCTAATTCAACACATTGTTTAGAGGTTGACAAAACAAGTAGGGCAGTCTAGTTGTAATGCAGAGCATGCATATGTCACAACTTAAGTATGATTAAGTTTCAGCAATCATCTACATCTTGCATCACAAAATACGAACACAGATAAGCATTTTTTTTAATAATCAATATGTGCAGGCAACATCGTGACCACTCTCCCAGTTGGTGCAACGATAAACGTCACCTGGCATCTGGCATATCCTCACAAGGTACTCATTCCATCATGTTTAAGGGATTTATATGGTGATCTCTCGAATGATAAACCATGCATTCTATGTAATTATACCCAATGTCGGCACACTAGAATGGATAAATATATTTGCTGAGAGTGCCCACTGTCATTGCTTTTATAAAGAGTCAGTCAGGTATTCAGAGAGAAGGGGAGAAGGGGGGAGGGGGGGGGGGGTCCGGATGTCATGACCCCCTTCTTGAATTCTGCATATGTAAAAAATTTAGGGCGTGGAAGAAACGGGGAGGGGGGTTTAGGCATATGATACGCTGAGCGAGCCCCCCCCCCCCCCCCCCCCCCCCCCTTTCATTCCCTCTGGAGATACCGCAAACACCACTCTGGCATAGAGCCGACTTATTTTAACAAAATAATAACACCGCAGGAAAAATTTGGTTCACACTAATCATTAGTCTTTTTGATTGTTTTTTACTTTAAATTGCTTTAGCAATTACAGCATTGTTCGTAATACTATACGAAGGCATAAAACAATTCTCAGCCATAAAGAATTAATATTTTTTGTTTCAATCATGGGCTAAAGCAATCCAGTATGCAAAAATTGTATAACGACCCACTTGCTGCCCAATTAGTTTTATAAAAAAAATAATTAATCCACACAGTAAAAACACCAATTTATGCGAACTTGTAAATCAACATCAAATTAACAAAAGCTACCAACTGTTCTGGGAACGACATTTTCAATGCTGCGAGTCGGAAATTCTGCACAAATTGGTTGTATGCACTGCAACTTTGATTGATTTCTTGAGAACACAGTTTTCTAGCAAACTTAGAGCCGTGACTCTAGGTGTTAGTGACCGTGAAGGCTAGATGTGAACTAATTGTTTGCCTGATGTATTCGTAAATTCATTTAATGTTTTTTTGTTTTTTTTCCTGTCACTAGGGAGGTTACAAACTCGAACTGCTGGATGCAAATGAGAAGCATTTGCAGGACTTGACGGACACATCAGCAGGAGAGTATCTCGGATTAGACGATGCTACGTAAGTATGACTCGCGAGGATCAGCGTCATGGGTTTGTAAAGTACATGTTTATGAGACCTATAACATATTAGGGATTCGCAATAAGCTTTTTTATACAACTGTTCATTTGTGCAATTCAAAACTTGGGTTCAGATTCCTTTCTAAAGCTCTTCCGCACATTGTCTCCCTTAAAAAAAAAATGTTTGCTACCCATGAAGGAATTACACAAACAGCTAACATATTTATGGTAGCACTTTGTTCATGCTCGACAAACTCGTCATACATAAAAAAAATAATTTCTGAACCAGTAAATCTTGACGCAATAATTGACACGCCGAGACTCACACTGCGATTTCCGAGGAGAATGATACTGGTTGTTAGTATGATCGCACAATTGCTTGTGCCAGCCAATGAAAGCGAACTGCCACCCGCAAAAGAGCCCTGCTGCAGCGCTAATACTATTGCAATAGCCACCAAAGTTGTAAATGCACCAAGTAAATAAAAATCACTAAATTCGAAAAGTAATTTGTCGCCTGCCAAATTTGGCGGACATAGCGGGTCATGTGAGACGCCTTTTCTTAAAGGGCGACTTCAGTCAATATTTTTAGAATTTCAGATTATGACTGCTTTCAGCTCAGGCAGTGTCTCCCAAGTTACAACATATCATTTCTTTTATATATTTTGTGTCGTTTTACAAATATCACGGCTCAAAGTCTGGTTTCGGGCGTCTATGGCAAAACAGAAAGTATCTGCTAGAGGGATGGCAACACTGATCGTCGGCTGTACAGCCGCGATATGACGTCACCGTGGTGCTGCGTATGCGTCGCTCAGTGTTCCTCGACTACAAGCTAACCCACCTGCCACCCGCTAAAGAATGCCTGGTCGCATCTTTAAAATCAGTTTTAGTGGGCATGCGGCTTCACATATACATAATACTTCGGCCGTGATCATATTTTGCGCCACTAAAGTGATACCAGTCATTTATCTCGGTTTCGTTTTCCATTGTAGTTGCCCTTAACGCAACGCTGACATGGTCCTCCTCTATAATGTGTTCTATCTTAAAAATTGCCAGCAATACGTGCAAACGAAATTCAACCAAGGTTGATAGCCAGAGACCCCCAACAGAAAAAAACGTTGTATCCATTAAAGAGCCTTTGTGCACAAACACAGCAAGCCTATTTACAGGTCCTTGCATGTAGTTCTACATATCAAGTATTCCAGACACGGGAAGCAGTCGCAGATCAGAAAGAAAACAGCTGTTTTCAGACCAGCATTTACCACCTGGCACATTCTTCAAGACACTGTCCCCTCCCGTCTCGCGGAAATGGAGCGTGCTGGTGGAGTTAGTTACATCATTTATGTAATTGCCCTTCCTGCGAAACATGCGCAGGGCACAAAGCTCAACGGTGCGTCTGCCTGGGTCGGTGGCGTGCCGCGGCTGTTCCCTCCGTCTCTTGCGGCAGGCGGCAGAATGGGGTGGAAAGTACCTCTTCTGGAGTTGCGCCGACGTCGACCTCGTACCAGGTGAGCCCTCCTACCTCACCCATCGCTAGAAAATATTAATGTAATTACCGTCGTAATTCGAAAGGTATAAAGGTCTTCAAGATTGAAATGGTAACCCAACTTGCAGATGCCCTTTCTCGAGCGAACTGAGCTTTTCTGTAAGACAGGGACAAGAGTTCAATCTAATATGAGCCAGTACAGCACTGTGAGCCAGAAGTAGCACTAATGATTCAAGCCTGCCTGTTCCCCAGTGTGAACTTGTATTCTAAACTCAAAGATGAATGCTGAACCTCCATCATACTCTGAACAGTTTATTTACCCAGTGCATTCTATGCAGATTGCAAGTTCGTCTGCTTCTTGCACAGGGGTTGCTATGACGTCAGGATGCGGAACTCTTATTGGCTGAATAAAAAAAATAGTGGGTACACCTCAAGGCACCTAGCACTGAGGTCTACCCACAATCCTTTCATTTAAGGGGGGGACACTACCCACAAAAATCAATTTCTGCAAAAAAAGTTGATTTTGAAAAATGCCACATTTAGATCCACCAACATCTACAGAGTATTCCCATAAGGTTTCGTTAGATTACACAGCATAGTTAATTTTTTATAAATTATTTTCGGTCCACCAATGCTAAAGAAAAGGTAGAGGTTGGAGCACTTTGAGTGCATTTTTCTCCCTTCCACTTTTTGGCATAAATTTCACTTTAGGAAAACTATTGTTTGTTATTGAGACAGAAGGAGAGGCTCACTCTTTGTTTTTCTTAACTGAAATTTTATGGGCAATGCAACTGTGGAATTGTTTTTTGACTTTCTGGATGTCTTTTATAAAATATGTTAAGATTTTGTCAACAACATAAAAGAGAAAATATATCTGACTTTTCACCACAATGTTAGTGCAAAATAAATTACTTTTCGGAAATTTTGTTTTCACAGTTGCGCTCTCCAGGCACTCTGCTGCAGATCTGGTGAAGAAAACCGTTGGATATTACATTAGTTTTCTAACAATAGTTTTTCTAAACAAAGTTAGTGTGTTCCTCATAAAAACGACTATAATCACATTTATAATTCATGTACACAGATGAAACTTTGCACTGCATTCTTTCTTGCAACGTCCACTATATACTGTAAACTTCATTCATATTCAGCCAAAGGTTCAAAAGTCAGCCCTCTTGGGTAGTGTCCCCCCTAGCTCGGCGTCATTCTGACGTCACCACAACTCCTGCACAAGAAGGACATGATTTGCTCTCTGCATTGTTGTACACTTTCTAGATAACGTATAGATAAATATAGATTCTAAGACAGTCTCAACGAAGGCATGGGCACGATCGTGCAGGGACATGCAGTGGTTGATATCCCCTGCTAATGCTTTGGCCGAGACCACATTCGGTGAAACTTTTGTTTGTTTCATACCTATTAATTGTCAGTCGTGACCTTTGCTTTTCGTGAAGAAACCTAGCTGGGACACTGTTTGTTTTATAAAATGTCCTCGTCTTTTTCAGTGTCGGAATTTCACGTAATCTGCTCGGGCCACGGGCGAATCGAAGGAGGTCGTTGCCTGTGCGACCATCTATACTCCGGCAACGTCTGCCAATACAAAGGTGCGTGAGGTTTCGCAAAGTGGCTTCGAAATCGTGAACCACGAGACAGCTGACAGGCAGGCGGACGTCTGTCAACAGTCCTTACAAAATGTTGTTTGCTCCAGCCGTCCCTAAGCATATTGTAAGCTGACCTGTTCTCGAGACGATAAGTTGTTCGCATTTGAGGGTCAACGGAGCAAGATGATGTCTCGCTTTCAAACTATAGTCTTGACCACCAAACACCGCAACGTTCACGGCGGTCCGAAAGCAATCTGCAAATTTGGCAACTCAAAAACATCTTGCGAAAACTGCCATGGGCGTTACGGTGCCTCAACACGCCGTCCAATACCGCAAAAGCGCCCACTGTTGACATTTTTAAAACTTGGCAATTCTGCAAATTATACGTTAAGTGCCTGCCTTAACCGGACAAGCACCCATGCCTAGATAAACCCAGTTTTCAGCAAAAGTGGCGTGGGCACTCCCCCGACATATCATGGTACACCACTCTCACCGTCTGCTGGTAGCGTATGTCACGATCTTTCTGGAACGTGGACGAAGGGGGCCGAAGCACCCGCCGAGAAGAGACGACACGCAGCCTGGTTGAGGGTGGACGATGACTGACTGGAGCAGTGTGTGCTCGACGGCGTTTATTGGGGCGCGATGAACAATGTTGCCCGCCGAGCCTGGCGGCCGCGGACGGGCGGACTGGAGGGGGGCGCCACTAACTTGTCACACTCCTCCCCCCCAGTTTGTTTGTTATTAAACAAAACTAAACACAATGCGCACGGCCGACACCATCTCGGCGTCTGGTCGTGCAAAGTCCCGGCCTGTCGACGATGAAGGTCACCCCGGCGAGTAGCGGTCAGGTGGCCTCCGCTGCCGTGCACTCCGCCTGGGTACAGGTGTCGACGGGCCAGGTGTGGCAACGCCGGGCGCTGCCTGAACCGGTCGCGCTCCACCCGGTGGAGCTGCAGAGACCGGATTGGGGATTGGCACCGGTCCAACTGGTGCCACAGGAGTGGCGACGCTTGTCGCCTCCGGGGTGGGTGGCGCTCCGCTGGCCACGACTGGTGCTGTTGGGCCCCCTGCAGGCTGGTCCTCTGAAGCGACGACCGAGGGTGGAAGCCAGGTCCCGCGGCGAGGCCTGACATGGTCAGCGTGCCGGTGCCAGGTGGTCCCGTCGGGCATGCGGACGAGCAGCGATGAGGCGCTCGCTGGTGAAACCACATGTCCGGCAGACCAGGGTGGGCCAGGACGGAAGTTCCTGGCGTACACCGACGCTCCCGGCTCCGGCAAAGGCCCGGGACGGCACCCTCGGTCAGCAGCCAGCTTCTGCTTCAGCTGCTTCAGGAGCGCCGTGGACCGGAGGTCTGGATGCAAGACGTCCAGGGGGGTCTTGACCATCCGGCCCAGCAGAAGCTCGCAGGGGGCACGGCCAGTGACCTCGTGAGGTGTGGTCCGGTATTGAAACAGTACCCGGGCCACCTGCGTCCGGAAATCCCCGGGCTGGCTCCTCTTCAGCTTGTTCTTGAGGGTCTGTACCACCCGCTCTGCTGCACCATTGGAAGCGGGGTGGTACGGCGGAACCAGCATCCGGCGGATCCCATTTCTCTGCAGCCAGTCGAGGTACTCGGCGCTAGCGAAAGCGGGACCATTGTCGGACACAATGATGTCCGGCAATCCCTGCGCCGCGAAGACCTGCCGCAGAGCCGCAATGGTCGCGCTTGCCGAGGGACTGGTGACTGGCAGTGCCTCCACCCACTTGGAGAAGGCGTCCACTACCACCAGGAAGTAGTGGCCCTTGAAGGGTCCCGCATAGTCCACGTGCAAGCGGGACCACGGCCTCTGTGGGAACGGCCAGGGGGTGATTTCCACGTGGCGCAAGGCTCGCTGGTTCTCCTGGCAGACCTGGCAGCCTTGCACCTGGTGCACGATGTCCTGGTCCAAGCCAGGCCACCAAACGTGCGACCGTGCCACCATCTTGGTCTTTTCGATGCCAGGATGCCCCGCGTGCAGCAGCTGCAGCACCTTGGCCCGCAGACTTTGTGGAATCACCACCCTGGAACCCCACAGGAGGCAGCCTTGCTCCAAGCTCAGCTCGGCGGTCTTGTGGCTGAACGCCTGGTGACGCAGCTCCTCCCCTCGGGCAACCGCCTTGACCACCTGAGACAGGACCGGGTCCCGGCTGGTCGCCTGCGCCACCGCAGTCCTGGTCAGCACCCCCGGGTAGGCCCGCTCCAGCAGGAAAACGTCAGCTGGCTCTGGAACGGCAGCAGGCACCTCCGGCAGGGTCAGGCGGCTCAGGGCGTCAGCAGGTCCCAAGTCCTTGCCAGGGCGGTAGACCAGCTTGTACCTGTAGGCTGCCAGCGTCAAGGCCCAGCGTACCACTCGAGGCGAGGCTTGCACTGGAACTGCCTTGTCAGGTCCCAGCAGCCCCAGCAGCGGCTTGTGGTCCGTGACTGCCTCGAACTGCCGGCCCCACAGGTACTGGTGGAAGCGCTGGACCCCGAAGATGAGGGCCAAGCCTTCCCTGTCGAGCTGGCTGTAGCGTTGCTCCGCCGCATGGAGACGACGAGAAGCAAACGCCACAGGGCGTTCCTGACCATCCTGACCCCGGTGCGACAGGACGGCTCCTACCCCGTACGGCGACGCATCCACGGTGAGGACTACAGGCTTGGCCGGGTCGAAGTGCACCAGCACTGGAGCCTTAACGACCAGCTCCTTGCTGAGCTGGAAGGCCAAGTCCTGCTCCTTCTTCCAGGCCCACTGCTGACCGTCACGAAGCAGTCGATGCAGCGGCTCCAGATGCGTCGAAAGGTTGGGCAGGAACCTCCTGTAGAAGTTGATGAGGCCGAGGTAGCTCTGAAGCTCCTTCTTGCTCTTGGGCTTCGGCGCCTTGAGCACGGCCTCAATCTTGCGGGGAGCCGGGGCCAGGCCAGCCTGGGAGATGATGTGTCCCAGGTACTCCACGCTGGGGGTCAGGAACATGCACTTGTCCAGCCTCAGCTTGAGACCGGCGTCCTGTAGTCGTGTCAGGACTTTGCGCAGGTTCTGCAGGTGGTCCCCGTCGTCGGTACCGGTAACCAGGATGTCGTCCAAGTACACCGCCACGTGCCTCATGCCCCTGAAGAGGTTGTCCATCTCTCTCTGGAAGATGGCTGGGGCTGAGGTCACGCCGAACGGTAGGCGCGTATACTGGAAGAGTCCCATGGTTGTCGAAATGGTGACATACTTCCGGGCGGCATCCTGGAGCACCAGCTGCTGGTAGGCATCTCGAAGGTCGAGCTTGGAGAACTTCTGTCCCCCGGACAGAGCCGACCAGAGATCTTCTACCCGAGGCAGCGGGTACTTTTCGACGGTAGCGACGGGGTTGATGGTGACCTTGAAGTCCCCGCAGATCCTGACGCGGCCGTCTCGCTTGAGGACTGGAACGATTGGTGCAGCCCACTCGGAAGTCTTGACGGGCACCAGGATACCCTCTCGCTGCAGCCGTTGCAGCTCCTGGGTGACCCCGTCCTTCAGGGCAAACGGCAGCGGACGCGGCTTGAAGAACCGAGGCCGGGCTCCCTCGGGTACGTGGATGCCGACCGTCGTGCCGGCAAAGGTGCCCACCCCCGGCTGGAACAGGGACTGGAAGTCGGTCAAAAGGCTCGGGACGTCCTTCACCACGTGCAGCGCAGCTTCTTGGTACTCCGGCAGCCGAACACCCAGCGAGTGAATCCAGTTCCGGCCCAGCAGCGTCGGCGACGACCCCTTGGTTAGGTAAAGGGGAAGGATTGCCTCCCTGTCGCCAAGGCGAACGCTGACTTGGGCCCGACCCTGGACCTGGGATAGCTGCCCGGAGTAGCTGCGCAGCATGACGTCAGACGCCTCGATGGGCACGCCGGGGAAGGTCCGCTTGAACAGCTTCCCGGGCATGACCGACACGCTGGCCCCCGTGTCCAGCTCCATGGTGATGGGGTGGCCGCAGATTTCGACCGACACCATGTATGGTGGCACAGACGAGGAAGGCTTACTCGTCTGCCACACGTCGAAAATCTGCGGGTCCTCGGCCACGACGTGGACTTTGGCTGAAGACGGACCCGGGCCTGGTGCCGCTCGTCCCCGCCGCGTTCTCTTGCGACGACCACCCTGGCCGCGGGCTTGGTTGGAACCCGGGCTTGAACCAGGCTGCTGCTGCTGCTGCTGGCCGCCGCTCGTCCTCCCCCCTCGGCAGACACGTGCGAGGTGCCCAGTTCTCCCGCACGTAAAGCATCGTGCTTGGACGAACTGGCACTGTGAGGGGGAGTGGGCAGCACCGCAGCGGCTGCAGGCACCGCTCCTTGCCGCCATCTTGTTCACCGCCGCTTCCGTCGACGGTGAGCCGGCCGCACGCGCTATCTCGCTGGCGTCTTTCGCTGCGGCTTCCATCGCCTGCGCTGCCTTCACCGCGTCGTCCAGCGAGGGGTCGGGGAGCTCCAGGAGTCGCGTCTGCATGGCGGGGTTGTTGATGCCACAGACGAACCGGTCCCGGAGTAGCGAGTCCAACTGGTCGCCGAAGGCGCAGGTGCTCGCTAACCCTCGTAGCGCAGCGACGAACTGCCCGAGGGTCTCCCCGTCCTGGCGGCTCCGGTTGTTGAAGCGGAACCGCTCCATAAGCGTGGACGGCGCCGGGCTGAAGTGCGAGCGCAGCGTGGCGAGCAGCTCACCCAGCGTTTTGACGTGCGGCGTGGCCGGCTTGAGGAGGTCGAGCAGGAGGCTGAAGACGCGGGTCCCGCAGCTGGCCAGGAAGATGTCCCGTTGTTTCTCCTCCGGCGTGTCGTTCGCCCGGAAGAACACGTGGACTTGTTCTTCGTAGACCGGCCAGGCGGACCCATCTCCCTCGAACGGCTCGAGCCTCCCGTACAGCGGCATGGCGACAGGAGCGGGCGGCGGTGTTGCGACTCTCTCGGCGGCGTGGGCCGAACCGTGCACGTTGGTGGCCTCCAGTGCCACGGTTCCTCGTCGCCAGTGTCACGATCTTTCTGGAACGTGGACGAAGGGGGCCGAAGCACCCGCCGAGAAGAGACGACACGCAGCCTGGTTGAGGGTGGACGATGACTGACTGGAGCAGTGTGTGCTCGACGGCGTTTATTGGGGCGCGATGAACAATGTTGCCCGCCGAGCCTGGCGGCCGCGGACGGGCGGACTGGAGGGGGGCGCCACTAACTTGTCACAGCGTAAACTTGTAACTTTGCTTTAAACCGTGTTGTACTGCGAACCATTCAAAAGGCAAAATGGAGTCGTACAACAAATCAAAGTGGTCCTATTGTAGCCACTGCGTGGTAACCCTCAACCCTCGGAGTTGGTAAGAACTACTTGACCTTGCATCTAGTGCATTTCAGAGGCAGGCCTTTTTTTTGCAGTCATTCTATCGCAATCAATGCACGTTAAAGACCTCGGGTCTTCAACCATGCCCCAGGATGAAAAGCTGACCATCATCAAATCTTACAAAAAAAAAATTGCTTTAAGGCAAAGTTACAACAAACTGAACAGACAAAATGACAGACGGCTTCTCACTTTCTCTCTTGTCAGACGAATGCTGGGCTGATTCAGACTGCGGCTTTCATGGACGGTGCATCAACGTAGATGCCACCACATACCCCCGCATGCAGTGCTTCTGCCAGATGGGTTGGTTCGGCAAAGACTGTAATCGAGGTGAGCACTGCGGTTGCACACTGTCTCAAGTCTGTTTCGTGGTCCAGTCTTTTAAAAAAATAACTCACCCTTGTCTTCTTTTTTTCTTTTTTCTCTCTGGGTCCATTCAGAGTCTGCCGTAACCCGCGAGAGCCTCGACTTCTCTCAGTACCGCAGCAGGAAGCTCTCGGACAGATTCACACTTTATTGGAGAATCCTACAGGTAAGCGCGACGATACGATAAGATAAAAAAGGGCAGGCGGTCATACCGTTCCTAGTCAACGTGAGATAGTTAAAAAAGTAAGAAGACTGCAACTATAGAAGGACGGCTACAGCACAAAATGTGGAAAGGGGTAGGGTGCGTGCTCAGCGTGCCAGTTATTTCAAGGACAGACAGAACTCAAGACACTTTGCCTGAAAGGCATGCCTTCTATTGCGTAAATGTGTATTCTAACATTTCTGATTTCTGGAGTATGCCCCTTTCAGAACCATACACAGAGAGCTTGTGAAGCGACTAAGCACGCAAAATGCGGCTCCGTTTCATAGGAGCCGCGTAACATTTCTCTTTCAATGCTGTGCCGGTGTCTACTGCAGGAGTGTCCATACTTAGTAGCCTCTTACATATCACAGCAGAGTTTGGAAACTAGTTTAATTTATTGACTGCTCGCGCTTTGCTTTCTGCAGAAGAGCTCGGAGATTGAGATGGTGATGAAGGTGCGGGGCACTTCCTACGCTGCCGTGGGTTGGAGACCAAAGGACTTAACTAATTCCTGCAAGGCGTTCCCACCGCTTCCTATCGACAGCAACCAGCGCTCCAGGAGGGAGGCTCTCACAACAAAGTCGCCACAAGAAAGGACAACCCTGTTCCCAGCCAGGCCTGCAACGCTGCCCGTGCACGCGCGCCCTCTACGGACTACACTACTCAGTTCGTTGAAGCCTCGCACTGAACCACCACCCGTGATAAAGCCCACCGAGCCAAAAGCTGAGCCAGTTGCTGAGCCGACAGCTGAGCCAACTCCGGAGCCGGCACCCGAGCCCAGCCCCGAGCCGGCGGCCGAGCCTAGTCCAGAGCCGTCATCTGAGCCAACTCCCGAGCCATCCGCTGAACCTGTTCTAGAGCCGTCCGCTAAGTCTACTCCAGAGCCGTCTGCCGAGCCTGCTCCAGAGCCATCAGCCGAGCCTGTTCCAGAGCCATCTGCCGAGCCCGTCCCGGAGCCATCAGCCGAGCCAGCTCCAGAGCCATCTGCCGAACCTGCTCCCGAACCGTCTGCAGAGCCCGCTCCGAAAACGTTAGCAGAGTTCCAGGCAAAGCCGACATCCAAGCCAAATCCAGAGCCAAGTCCAGAACCACACGCCCCTTCGGGGCACACACAAAAACCAGAGTCTGTGCCATCTGCAGAACCCGAGCCGCAGCCCGAACCAAAGCCGGAACCGGAGCCAAAGCCAGAGCCACAGCCCGCCACCCCAGAAGGCAGAAGCCTGGGGCCACATGATCACCGCTACCCACCGAGCGGGCCATACACGCCCAAGGCAGACTTCCATCCGATGGACTGCACAGATATAGTGATGGGTGTGGCGAGAGGCAACCTCAGTCGTGTGTTCGACATGTACACGCGGGACAGATCCACGCCACGGCCAGACGAGTTCTACGGGGGTAGGGACGATCTTTCGGCCGCCTTTGCCTATGAGGAGGACGGCCACACTGTGGTGCTCTTCCGCAAGTCCCTTCTCGGTACGTTTTCCCCTGGGGCCTCGTGTCACTGCCCCTTTTCCTTCATCGGTTTCGTGTTGCTTTATTTCTGCGAGTCGCTGAATTTCAAAAGATTAAGGCTGGAGCGGGGCCATTCAGTATGAATCTGAACTCAGAAGTCGAGGCTACTAGGACAACGCCGACCGCATTCCATAACCATGAACCACAACCCAGCTGTATGGGGATTGCCCCGCATTCGCTTGGCGATCGTTCCACCATGCAAAACGTTAAACTGAAACATCCCATCACCAGAAGCTAACTTCTTCCGTCGTACATTTTTGAAGAAAAAAAGGAAGGCACTGCCAAAAAACTGCTTTGGTTCCCAAGTCGTTCCACTGCGACCAAAGAACGAACCCATCAATTTTCTGCTAATGGGCCATATGGACCAAACTCTCGCAGCGGCCGAGCTCACGGACCAGCCCCTAGAGGACGCTCAGACGCTGGTCATCTGGGCACGGGGGCAGGAGCCCGGCGACTACATCCACTCTCCCAAGACGGGGCTGGATGAGGGGCGAGCTCGCGTGCTCGACTTCTACAGGCAAGACGAGGTCAAGTACCACGGCCACCGCAACCAGAGGGGCAGCCTCAGCCTCAACTTCCACGGTGGTGAGTGCTCCGTCGGTGTAACCAAACCAAATGCGACGTCCATGTTTATACGTCGTTATATCTGTCTGTCTTTGAGATGCGGCAAAGCCAGTTTACGTCGCAGATGAGAAACTCGGCGAGTGTAGTACCGCCGCTGCCCTGGGGACCTCGACGTGCATCACGCAGTGGTGGTACACGATCGCGTGCCGATGCGATGTTTGTATGGATCGAAATGGGCAGGGGCGGGGATCGAGCCCGGGATCCCTGGGTTCCGTTGTGCAAGCTTTCGCTCCACGTGCTCCGAGTTGCAGTGTGCCAACGCACTCTACCGCCAAACTCCTGCATTGGTATAACGAGACCTGTTGTGCGGCTGGTTTGTTCACGACGCTCGGAGAGCTGCGGTTATTTGCGCGTTTCGCTTAGTCTTTCTGGTCTTGGTGTCGTCGCTTGTAATGTGGTGCAGGGCAGTTTAATCTAAACTCGGTAGACTTGATTGATTTCCCTACACCCCTAGGGGTGTGTGTACACCTCCCCTTGTTTTTTTTATTCACAACAACTTCTCTATTCTCAGTGTTACCCCCCCCCCCCTTCCCCCCCTTTCCCCCCCCAAAAGAAAAATTTAGACACCCACGTAATTTAAATTCCTGGGAAAACTTCTGGACGTGGACGACTGTTCCATTTGCACTGGAGGAGCATTGCTGCTGTGAGTCCTCTACGGAGCTTGGAGACAAAGGGAAATGTCGAAAATTGATTCTGTCCCGTAGGAGGGTGACATCAGCCTTCTAAAATTTAGCTCGGAAAAAACTAATGTGTCTGGAAGCAGCAAAAACATTTGGTGCATTTTCTATTTGTCGGCCCGTTTGAGCTAGCGTGAAACTAAAGACCGCAGAGGTTGGGATGAGCTAGGACATAAAAAAAAAATATCTCGGATGAAAAAGGGGAGAAGCCGACATAAGCAATAAAATCGAAATCAGGCTTGACATGCGTGACATTTTGTTGAAGAAACAGCAGCAAGGTAAAGTTGAGAAAAGTTGTTGGGCAATGTATGGAGGACATGGAAAGAAGTTGGACACAGCTAGGTAAAGTTGAGAAAAGTTGTTGGGCAATGTATGGAGGACATGGAAAGAAGTTGGACATTGTAAACTGTGAAGCGAGGAAAAGACTGCACAGAGGATAAACGCAAACATCCAAACTCGGGTAAAATTTGGTTTCACCTTTCATATCCTACAAGGGGTACTCCAGCGATTTTCTCAGGGTTGCTGATTTACCTCAAAATTGGCTCAACACATCGATAGGCACAGCTGTACCAGTTCCCCAAGCATTATGTGAAAAAAAAAAAACGAAAAAAAAAACACATTTTGTGAAGTTATTGATGTTTCGAATTTCGTTCCCATTGCGTTTCTTAAACCAAGAATCCCTAGTGGCAACACTGAAGTGTGACGACAAAAATGGTACTAAATGGGCAGTAAACCACACTCTCCACTGACCACGAGACGTTCGGTGGTGGGAAAAAATGCTTGGTGGCCGATTCACTGAGAAACATGCAAAAAATGCTTGTGCGACCTGAAATTCCGTACCACTCGTGACGTCGAACCACTGGAGTGCGCGTCAATTTGAATGTCTGTTTTGGCATCATTTTCATTTACAGTTTTCTCAATTTCTATATTGAATTTCGACAAAATAAATGGTATACCGAGGGAGATTAAAGTCCTAGTACAGTCAAATATCAATAATTCAAACTTGCAGATAATTCAAACTAACATGCAGGTCCTATCCTATGTGTCTCTATGAGAGAAAACTCCCGGTAATTCAGACAAATTTTCAGTCCCTTTCGAGTATGAATTACCGAGATTCGACTGTATTAAAAAAATGCAATCTGTTTGGGTAACTCAAAAAACGATCCGAGTACCCTTTTAAATAGGCCCACGACCATGCGAAGCACAGACCTAAAGCTAACACAACAAAAAAACCTCAAGAAAGAAGGAAGTACTACACAAACAAGCTTCGGGGGTTGAGGACAAGTCGCAAAGTACAAACTACCAATCAAACAGGAACCACCAAGGAGGGCAAAGCAACCAGAGTTTACGGTATCAGTCTTAAAACCAGCTCGCCTGCACTCTTGCCTCAGTTTAATTTAGGAAGCCTTTTTGCCAGTTCTCGTCATTAGGTACGCTCATCCAAGCATGGCCGCTTCTCCCGACGTGTCAGACGAAATGAGGAAGTGATGATGCAAAAGGTCAACCCCATTACAGGGAAAACCAGCAAAGACCTCTGCAAAGGCGAGTGGAGTTACCCGCCCGGCTGCCAAGCGGAACAGTGCCTCTACAGCATCACTTGGGACGTCGACCCGCGCTCTGAGAATGTTGCCTTTGAGGTGCGGAGCACGAGTGCCGACAAGTGGACGGGAGTCGGCTTTTCCGAGGACAGGCGCATGGTGAGTTGCCACGGCGTGAATGACGACGTACTTTGCGGGTGTCTAATACCGCCTCTTACAGCCCAAGACTGACGCCATCATTGGCTGGGCAGAGAAGACTGGGCGCTTCTACGTGTACGACATGTAAGTGCCACATTCTTCTCTGCATTTGGTGCGAGCATAAACATACACACACCATCTTTGTGGGGTGGATCTGGGAAGGAGTGGCTTTGCTCTTGGCTCCTTAATACTTCAAAGTAAAAAGTTATGGGGGCCATCCACACACAGACCCCTCTTAAAAGATGAAAAGAGAATCAAGACGTCCCCATGCATTCGATAAAGTTTTGGGAGCCAACGCGGAACACAGACACGAAAAACATCTTGGAGCTGGCATCAAGGGTGACGGCGCTAGCCAGCACTTTGGCAGCCTACTGCACCGTTGGTGGCATCACCACAGGGTGTGGCACATCAAACTTCTTTCTCCCGTGGCACACCGCTTCTCTCGTCATTGTTTGACACAGATCAAGACTGCATGTCGAAACACAAAAATATTATTACAGTAATCCCTCGTTATAACGGAATCACATTTTTCTGATTATCGCTTTTACCGAAGGTCAACAGGGTCCCGACCAAAATGCACGCATTTTTAACCAGATTATTCTAACTGTGTCGGCGGCCGACGACACTTATTACAAAGGCTGAGGTGCAGAAAGCACGCAAGCCTACACAGGCACACGGAGACCCTTGCATTCCCTCCCCCTTCTCTACCTAACTAACGGAAAACTGGGAAAACGGAGTAAACGGGAGACAGAGGGCAGAGCGCGCAGAGCTGGCAGCGTGCCACTTCCAATGCTGATGCGCCAACGCGGGGACGCGGGCACGGAGCAGCAAGAGCAGCGTCAACGTTTCAATGCTACTCACGGTGCCCGTGGCTGACGCTGCTTGACTCCTGTCGGAATCAGGTCAAGGAAGCGATGAAGTCCGGAGATCACCCCTTTGAGAGCCCCCGACGCGCACGCCTGCGGCGTACAACACGCACACGTGCGGTGTATGGGAGATTGGGAGTATTTACTGAAACTCGCTTAGATCTACAACGTTGAGAAAAGTGGCCGGCCCAAGTTTGAAATCGTCAAAGAATTTGACATTCCAACATCAGCTATTCGACATTGTCCACCATTTTTCAGAACAAGCAAGGCGTATTGGATGGGTTTGAGAAGCTTTTCGTGGAAGAGAAAGCGTGCCCGTGACCCGAAGATAAAAGATAGCCTTCTGCTTCGCGCTTGTCGGATTGTCTCTCATACGCATGCTTGCCGAGCCGGCGCACGATTTTCATAGCTGCAACTATCTCTACAGGAGTGTGTGAAAACATGTTGGCAAAGCCACCGAGGATAACTTTGATTCATTCGCACTTGTCTATGCGGACGTTCTTGTTGTTGCTCTTGCCACGGATGCTGTGATCGTAGACCTTGCGTGCGGCTAGGATAAACACAAAGCAACGTCGGAGAGGCACCTCGGGAAACGCCGTCGACTGCGGAGACGCAAATCATCCTACGGCTGCTTCGGAACAAAATGGAGTGCAGCGGCGGTGACAGTGTTCTTACGATGCCTGGAGGAGTTCGAGGAGAACTTATGCCCAGATGAAATTATCCGAAAGCTCTACTTAATAATTTTTTACTTGGTAAAGCTGCCGCGAGGTATGTTTGATTAAAGGTATGTTTGATTAAATATACGGTCAGACCGTTCCGCAGTGTTCCCGTCCACTTTTAAGGCTGCTGGCTCTAATGCTGCTTCTTTGGCTTTATTGCTTTTATTGAATTACCGCTTGACCAGCCGCACCTGCAGCTGGCCAAGTAGGCAGCGGGCATGTGGCCTAACGGTTATTGAACCCTGGCTTTTCGCGTGGGAGCCAGGTACGATAACTGTTAGGCCACGCGCGTGCTGCCTACTTGGCCAGGTGCGCGCGCGGCAATATTGAATTTTTTTGCTGTCCCGTTGACTTCGTTAAAACGAGGGACTACTGTACTTCCCCACAAGGAAACAGACGGGTATGTGTGATATCATCCTTTTCCCCCAAAACAGACCACCCCCCCTTTTCTTTTTGTAAAAGTACAGGTAACTTAGTCTGTTGCAAGTTTAGGACAAGTCCCTCCCACAAAGCTCTTCGCTCACCACCGATTGGCCGTTTCCTCCTCTCCACTTGCCTACAACAGACTGTACTCCGTCTCACGTTATGATGGACTAGCTGCAGAGGGCACTACGAGGAATCAAAGCTAATCCAATGCTGTACGAGCGTCACGTGAACTTTGAGAAGGGTATAGCAACCGCAGCCACGTGCTTAGTCGCACAACACGTTCACGACGCTGCATTGACTGGGATGGCTCGTAGTGTCTGCTGCGGCCCAACTGCGAGTTGACACGGGTATATATTCTCTTCACCCTGCAGTGTCGTCAGATGTCAGAGAACTAAACCAAAGACTCGGTAGCTTGCACCATCTCGCTTATCACAGACGTGCAATCTACTCCCGCCAGGTGGTTACCGGGGTACGGCGAGCCCATGAACGACGTGCATTCCGACGTCTTCAACGTGACGGGGCAGTACGACGGCGGCGTCGTGACGCTCCGCTTCACGCGAAAGCTCGACACTGGTGACGACACCAACGACCTGGGTTTCACCGAGGACCGCTGCCTCCACCTCGTCTTCCCGGTCTGGGGTGGCACCTACAACAGCGTGCTCCGCAAGCTCGGGCGCCACGCGCGCTCGCCGCACGTCTCCAAACACCCGCTGTGCCTCCGGGGTTGCCGATCGCCACCTCCCCCGACCGTCGCTCCGACCGCTCCACCCACCGCTCCGCCGCCCCCCGCTCCGCCGGCGAGCGAACATCCAATCGCTGACGTTCGCGGCGAGAGTTCCGATGCCTGCTCCGGGAGCTGGAGGTTCCCGGAGTCGTGCTCGGGTGATGGCTGCGAGTATGCAGCCAGCTGGAGCTACCACGCGCCCTCGGATCAGGTGCTCTTCACCGTGAGCACAAGAAGCAACAAGTGGACGGGCATCGGCTTCTCGAGCAACAGGGCAATGGTGAGCGGGGGAGCACGTCTCTCTGATCTTCTGACTCTCACTTTTGGGGATTAGTTTCGACTGTTTTTATGGTGAAAGCTTTTGTGGCAGTCATTGGTACAGGTGCAAATGCATTTTTATGCTCGTAAAAGGATGACCGACGTTTGATGTGCTCTCGTCAATCATCGTCTCGGCAGAGAAGGTATCAGTTTTCCTTTCTTGCCCTTATCCATGGCAAGCAAGTTGATGCTTGAAAATTTACAACTGGATTACAAAACGAATCCTCAGTAGAAACATCAACTTGCTTCGCCCAGTAACTATAGTAATGTGTGCCGCCAGTCTTACAGCGTAAACTTTACACCTGTACACATACTATCTTAGAATCAGCATTTTCCAAGAAATCAAATTCCTCTTCTCCTCCACAGCCCAAAACCGACGCCATCTTGGGGTGGGTCGAAGAAACCGGCCGGTTCTTCATCATGGACGTGTAAGCGAGGTCGGCGACCCTCGAAACGTCGACGCTCCGACGAGCACCGCCTTTTCTCGCAGCTGGATGGACGGCTACGAGGCCCCGTTCCTGGACCCAGTTCAAGACGTCGGCAACATGTCGGGGAGTCGGCAGGACGGGCGGACCACTCTGAGCTTCGCGCGACGCCGGTACTCCGGAGACGCCGCTTACGACCTGGACCTCGACCAGTGCCTCTACCTGGTGTTCCCGACCCACGGCGGAGTGTTCAACGCCGTCTCCAAGAAGATCCGCCACCACGAACAGACGCCCCTCGTGTCCCGGGAGCCCGTCTGCTTCATGCACTGCCACCCGGGTGAGCGAGGACGACGCGACCGACGCTGCGATTTTCGCTAAAGTGTCAGCGCGAAGGCCCGCGATAAACTGCGGCTCCAGATCGGGCATGAAGGACTTCCCCATCCCAGTCGCATGTAAAAAAGAACAAACCCCTTTTGGAAGTTCGTCGAGCAACACTGGCGGTCGCCATTTCTTGGACACGAAAATCGCGCCCAAACAACGGTGGACTCGTATAATCGGTGCAGCAGCTGCTAGATGGCGCACGCTTTTGAAAAGGGTCTATTGTCAGAACTGACCGCATTCGATGCATGGCGGCAGCGCTAGTTTGTGGTGGACGGTACGGTCAAAGCTTGACGCTCTTTCTTTCAGGCGCTGTGGTACCAACGGGGCCACCGGTACCGGAGACGAGGGCAACCAGCGCTCCGAGCACGGTCAGCCCGCCCCTGGAAGAGTACAGGGTGAAGTTGCAGCTGCTTGAGCCCTGGCAGGCCAGCTACGGAGTCAAGGGCTCCCGGCCGTTCACCCTCCTCAATCGACAACTAGTCGACGGGGTAAGTGGCCACGTGACGCTGCCGGCTTTCGTCGGAATACAGTCGCCGACAGATTTTTTGAACGTTGATCATTCGGACTTGGTCGATATTTCGGACCTAAAGGAGGAACCGTGACCTACCCTATAGAAATAGCGCATATTCACGACCAATGTAGCTTAAAGTCAGAAAGTTAAATTTTTTGGACAAAATCGTCGAGACCGATCAGTGGAAAACACTAAAGAGAAGTCGCCATTTTAGATTGTATGTTGGCTGCACGTGGATTGACTTGGTTTGGCAGCGCTTACTGCTAAGTCTTACAGCTAGGTGACGCTACGCTGTCTCTTTTTTTTTTCCATCTGCGTGCCATTATCGTCATCAATGTTACAAATTTGCTTTGTTCATTCGTCATTCTGCAGTTGTGGACCTGCACCTTTCATCCTGTCTCAGTGAATTGTGTTCTCAGACTACACTGGCTTGGTTGCCATTGTCCCATCTGTTGTTCCGCTGCCGCGAAGTACTCTATCATAATGCTAGAAAAGAAGGCAGCAATTCTCAAGCTAATAGGCCTTTTTTGCTTAGTCTAGACAAAAAAATACTGAAACGTTTCAACCTGCAAACAGTAAAAAAATAAAAGGGGAAACAAAACGAGAATGGGCGACGGTTACGCTTATACCCTGAATGTATTCCATTGGCGTGGCGACGGCAAAACAAGGTCTTCGCCCATACTGGAAGTGACTATATTTTAAGATGGCAGTGCCCTCATGAAAAAGGTCTATAGGAAGTGGCCAAAAGTCCGCTTAGACGTAATAAAGGCCAGTTTTTTCATCTGCTGACGTTTCGGATTGCTCTATTATTCGGACAACTTTTCGGTCCCTGCGAAGTCCGAAAAATTGGTCGACGACCGTAACTGGGACACCCCCAGCCACAGAACAAAATCCAAAAAGTTATTGTCGCGATGTTCACGCACCCAAATGTCACAGTCTTCTGGTGTTGATGCATGGTCTCTTAAACTTCCCTTTGTCATTCATACTCCTATGACTGCATTCCCAATTTCACATGAATAGATCCAAGCTACTCCTGCGCAGTCATGTCACACGACGATGCAGATAAAGCAGTGCCGGACGGGAGCGAGTTTTGAAATGCCGAGGTGCAGAAACTTTTACCATAAAGTGAGACTGAGTAAATTTTGGAACAGGGCCTATGCGAAGCGTTTCTCAATCACTGATCGAGGACGACCAGGTTCTTATTTTCGAGATAGGTTGTGGTCTTAACTGCTTCACTGCAAGGGGATTTTGCCGAGATTGACAAGTGTAGTCGATATCAATTCAACTGCTAACTCGGACCCACAATACCATTCGTGATTGATGAAAGTGGGATAAAAAATGTTCTGGCCAAGTCTTTCTATCATTTCGCATTTGTTCACAATGTCTTCTCTTTCCTTGTGCAGTTGGAGCCTGCTCTGAACGAGGTGGTACAGAAACACCAGCTGCGACTTACCCGCGTCACAAGGTGAGGCGCCTGCTCTTGCCCTTCAGTCTAGTACTCTCGAGACCGGTTCTAACGAAGTCAACGGGAATTGTAAATCACTTCGATATATCTGCTATTTCGGTATAACTGACGTCGGTTAACGAAGTGCAAAAGGGAATGAGAAATCATGATCGCTTTGCTCTAGCCGCTATTTTGTTATAACCGGTCTCGACAGTATGTTCTATTTGAATAAACTTGTTTGAGAAACAAAGTAGACATTATGCTGATGTCACAGCCATTACTACCGGCTCACATGCACCAATTAAAGCTTCTTATAACATAATTTTCCTTTCAAAGGGGCGATGCAATGATTTTCGTATTTTGCACAAATACTGCTTAGAACGGATCTCCGACGTTAATGACCCGTGAAATACCCGTTTGTTTTTCACCACACGCAATCGAAGTCGCAGAAAAAAATTAAGAAAAACGAGCAAAGTTCACCCCCTCAACTCGCAGCCAGAACAAGCGGCCACGTGATCTGCAGCCGATTATATGCTGCCAATGTTGATCATAGCGTCGCGCTGGGGTTAGCAAGGCACAGGACACGCACTGAGTTCCAGACATTGGTATGGCTCGGCTGCTGTCGTCATTGCACCGATTGGACACAGGACACAACCCGAATGCTTCTCGAACTATCGATTATCACGAGCCCAAATCGAGTGTCCACGCCATGCTCAGGTCCAATCTATGAGCTGCATTCAAATATCGTCACTGGGCGGTACTGCTATTTCCCAGCTACGTCATCAGGTTTTGCAAAGGAGAGATTGAATGAAAACACTCAATTTTGTCCTCGAAATTACAGCGCAGCGAAGGAGTTTCTTGGTCAGTGGCGTTGCGTGCGAGTATCCTCAAGTCCCACTAGTGCCAGTAAGCTCGTGTAAAGTGAAAAACATTCCAATTGAATATCGTTGCACAGTCCCTTTAATGTTGCAGCTACCTCCTGTTCTTTCTATGTATGTGTTCCAAAGACTTCCAGTCATACTCATGCTGCACAATATCAATAGTACAGGGCTACCTCCCAACAGCAAAGTCTGCTTTTTCAGGAAGCATCTTTACTATTTTAGTACCTAAAATGTTTGCGCCAATATTAGGAATATTAGGACACTATTCTACAGCGCTCTAAAATGCCGGTGTGCTTGACCTCCAAATTTAGAATGATTTGAGCCCAGGATGAGTTTTTCCCTAAACAATTACAAAAAAAAAGAAAGAACCCCAAAATGTGAAAATAAATGTAACCAGTGGCATCAGAGCAGGAGTGTCAGGGGCGCAAATGTGCCCCCCACGTGTTCACCTGTTTTGTTGTCCCCCTCGTAGGGAACCCGACGGACTGGTGGCCGAGATGCGGCTTCTGCTGGCGGCCGACGCAGAGCCGACGGAGGTGGCGCAGGCTCTCCAGGCGGCGCTGCAGCCGGGGCTGCTGGGGGCCGTGCGGGTCAACCCTTCCTCGCTCACGGTGCACTCGAGCAACGCTCCAGAGTCCCGGCCAAAACAGTCGGCCATCCCAGGTGGGTGCGCTTACACTCAGCAGGCGTGCCTTTGCGACCCGAAAAGCGCGACACTGCGTGTAACTTATTGTGCCATCATGCCGAGACGAGCTCCAGATTAGCTGTGCACGGGCTTGGGTTGCACACTTTCCCAAAGGTCGACAAAACAATTTTGCGTGTTTCCTTCGTTCACCAAGTTTGGAGGAGGGAAACCAAAAGGATCTCCTTCATCGCAAAATATAACATTGTCCTTTGAGCGAGTCTCCCCAAACACTACATAGGGTGGTTCACCAAACAACAACCAAAATGATTCCACAAAAACTATATGCATCGCAAGGAAAAACAGTTGGTGCCGTACAAGTCAGTGTCGAGGGGCCAGTTTAGAGAGGTGCACGGCATTTCCGATGATTAAGCTGTTATTTTTACATAATTAACATTTTTACTAGTAAAAGTGGAGATCTCAATTCCAATTGGAAACTTTCCAAGCGTAATCGAAAACAATTAAGTAGATCATTAAATTTTAGACTTGGGAGTACGTGGGAAGAGTGGTGGTAGCGCAGGAGTTGCTGCAAGTGCAACAAGCAAGAGGCTGACGGGGAAAGAACATGGCCAAGAAAAAGAATGCACGCAGGTGCCTCAAAGTTGGATGCATTTTCGGGACCCAGAAAAAAAAAGCATGTGCTCCAAATCTTTCTAGAATTAACTGATGATGACCAGCAAGTTTCTAGTCAGTACTAGGAATTGAAAGGCTAATACAAAAAAGCTTTAAGCCTCATTATCCCAAAAGTTGTGCACCTCTACAGGCCCACTGACCAATGCGGCGTCAATCTCGTTTCTGCGCAATGCAGTTTCTGCAGGAAAGCTTTGCCCGACATTCAACGAAACAGGTGGTACAAATTTAATTTGAATCGTTACCAAGCGCAAAAGTTGTCAAAATCCACTTACAATCACCATTAGGGATACTGCACTTTTATGGAAAGTCAACGACACAGAATCGTCGGTTTTACTTTACGTCTGCACCATTATGAACATCATGGGCTGAGCCACTTCTGCAACTGTTTGATGTCTGGATTCATATTTTTTGGCTCTCTCGGTTTTGGTGCCACACTTAGCAAGCTTTTGGGTGTCTTCGAAAATTACTTCAAGGACACTCTTCAAATAATCCTTTGAAAGTTCTACACCGTGTCGCAGGGTCACAATGCGGAGTAAAAGCTCTGCTTTCAGAACAAGGTTTTTACCCTGGTAACACTTCAGTGCCTCGCAAGCACATGTAGCCAAAGCACAATGGAAGGCAAGGAGCACATGCTGGAGGCAAAGATCCTCCCGCAGACCTTACATTGGAACAGACTACAGCAATGTCTTGTTAGTAGATACCTTCGTTACCCCAAATTCCACAAGTTGTCCACATTAATGAGACAAAAATGTATGTTGCATTTACCCAGTTTGTCCCTGGAAATCTTGTTCATATAGCAGGGTATCCATATTAATAAACAATAAAAAAGTAAATTGCAATGTACCTACCTGTTTAGAATCCATTGAAGCAGGTCTTCTAACATGTCGGGAAGTGTAGAGCGGATCGTTGGTCGTGCAGGTGTGCAGGCGGGAAGCTCTCCCGACACCAGCCAGGCCAAGCTGTACGCGGTCGTGGCCGCAGTCGCGGCGCTGGTCTTGCTGCTCCTGGTGCAGGCTGCGGCCATGGCGTGTCGGAGGAAAAGGCAACCCCAACCGCCAGCCCCCAACAGAGTAGGCATTCGTTTTTTCTTTCTTTTCAGACGTCCTCGGAAACCTCACACACTTGAAGCCTCATAGCGCAACGCAGTCCGCTCTGCGCTACATATGTCTTGCTAATTGAGATTTGTTTGCAACGGTGAGCACGGCACGCATACTTCTACGATTCTGTCGCGACGTATTTACCAGTGGTTTACTGAACTTTACCTTCTTACTAATGCTTTCAAAACAAACCCCCAGTGAAGACTTGTGTCCTTTTTTATGTGCTAAAACACAAGCTGCGGCCACGGTTGTGCAGGCGTCGTCGGATGTAGCAGACCGACAATCGTAGCAGACGACGCTTTCGGCCTTGCGCCGAGCTGTGTCCGGCCACCTGGTATACGACGTCACGATTCGTACCACGTGGCTAGAGCACAGAGGCGATGACACAGGAGCAATGTTGCCTGCCACAGACAAGGTTTTGATATTGCACTTTTTCACAAAGAAATTATATGTAGACGAGTTTGACGAGACGAAGAAAGCAAAACACAAACAGGGGACAGAGACAGACCTGCACTAGCTTGTACGTGTCTGTGTCTGTTCCCTGTTTGTGTTTTGCTTTCTTCGCATTAAAAAAATTGTTTACTAGAACCATTTATTACTACCTCAAGATATATAATCAACAATTAACTCAAATTTCTTAGAAATGACCAGAGTTGCCTTTTAAAACTTTGCTCACATCACATTAGTGTCATTGCCTAAAGCGTGCATCTTTTGTGAAAACAGAAAATGAAATCTTTAGATAGTATTGCATTCCCATGACCAGCTACCATATTTTCCGGTGTATAAGTCACAGTTTTTTTCATACATTTTTCTTGGTGCGACTTATACAACAATGCAACTTATATGATTTTTTTTTTTTTTTTTCGAGGTGCGACATTATTTTTTTTATATGCCGCGTGCCATTTTTTGTAGAGCACCATAACTACGTAGCCATAAGTGGTATTCCCCCCCCCCGCCCACCAGGAGGCACTGCTGTTGCCGCAAGCAAAGATTAAGAGAATGGTGGCAGAAATCGAGAGAAAACTAGGTATTTTCTTATCCACTGATGGCAAGGGGGTTTCATAGCCTCACTTTCTTTGCACTGCGGAGTGAATATAGATTTCACATTTAAATATTCTAAGCTTAAATGGTAAAACAAAATGGCTAGGTGGCGTAAGCTACCGCCCAATCCAAAGGGCTCAGCCGTATTCATCCATCCATCCATCCTATTTTGACTCGGAGTGCGAGATATAAATTTTTATGGTTTCCCCAGAAGTGGCTCAATATGGATACGCAAGACAGTGAGAATAAAGCTTTTACAGCAGGTTACTAATATATCCTAGTCAAGCAATGGTTCTGCATTCTTTTGCTTCAGTCCAGTAACACTGAGAAGTAAGTGGGCTGGTATACACGCATTGCATAATATTTTCTCATGTCTTTCTTAGCTTTTGTTTGATGAGTAGTTTTTTTTTTGCGTCGTGCTCCAGCCGTTTTACTACATGTAAAAGGAAAGATTGTGGCTAGCCGATCGTTCAGAGGTACCAAAAAAAAGTATGTCAAGGCTTATCTCTCTGCCTGTGCATCAATGCTCGCGTTGTCTCCGGGACTTGGCCTAGGCTAGGCCTAGTGCTCCAAAGCTTGGTTCGCGAGTGTCTAGCTCCTTAAACTCGTTTGCTCAGCATGCGCTTGCTCGAATAAAGTCGACCACCCTATCATTTTGCATATTTTACGTCCTTTTGCTGCAAAACACTCAATTCCCCCGCCAGGCAGCACCACACTCCACTCTAAAAAAAAGCCCGTGGGTCTACTTTCCCACACAACCCTCGGAGTGCCAATCACCTCAAATTATGGAGGCAGCTCAGCAAATGACATCGCCGAAACATATGTTAAGACCAAAAAACGCAGTCCAAGCTGCGACATTGAGCAATGCAAAACATCACCCTTGCATTGCGGAGTGACATTGCTCCGGGGTACGGTTTATCTCTACCCCACTCAAACAGCTTGGCTATAGGTACTAGTTATAACATAAATCCCCCTGCAATAGACCCTTTATTTCCTTGTTTTAGAGTGCAGCTCTTAGGCTGCGTTCGGCGAAGGCTCGGATCCAATCACGTACTTCGTGCCCAAGGAATGGCGTCTGCCAAGGTTGCTTGATGGACTTTTGAAAAGGGTCTATTGGCAAATCAGTCGACGCTCTTAAATTCCGAGCACGTGCCATGCAGGTACGAACATGACCCGATTCCGCCATTGACCGTAAAAATACTCAAGCTATGGGTATCTTCATGATCGTGTGAACAGGGTATCGGTAGCTCTAGGTCGTACGAAGGAGAGAGTAAACATTTATTCGCACCCAACAATTCGTCCTGGGTCATTTTCTTTACCACTAAGGAGCGTTTTCCGACACCCTCTCTCCCTCCCTGCAGGAGAAACTGCTGGCCAGCTCTCACTGGAAGGACTACTCCACCACCGCAAGCAGCAACTACAGCTACGAGAACTTCGCGCTGCGCGCCGAGGACGACCTCGGGCCCCCCGCGGGGGCGCCGCACCGACCGGCCAGCGCCACCTACGAGCGCGGCTCCACCACCGCCGTCAGGCCGCAGGCGAACCCGTACGCGACCACGCAGCGGACGCAGCACCAGCCGCAGGAACTCAACCCCGACTTCTACTTCATGCCACACCAGCGCCGTTACTCGGGAGAGGTCGTGCGCGTCTTCGTGGACTACAGCAACCCGGAATACACTGGCGGTGCCAAATGATTGCGGTCCAGCAACAGTGTTTTCTTCCCACCTTTTGTCCGCTAACCGTCGGAGCCGTTGCGACGGCGGGAAAGAAATGTGGAAACGTGCGGGGGCAAGAGTGGCTCGGAAAAAAGGCTAGTACGTGGCCGCCTGCAACCGCTTTTGTCGCGCGACATCGACAAGGAAGAGTGCGTCGAAATGTGTGAAAGAGAGGCCGGCATGGCCGTGCAACCTCCTAGGGCCGCTCCGTCGGAAGACGAGCGGGACTGACAAGGACAGTGAAAAACAATTTTGTGAAAAAAAAAGAGACGAAGAGGCAAGTATTGACGTGGTGCTACGCCGGCAACTTCAGTTATTACGTCCCCAGAGACGTCTAAACATGTGCGAAAGTTCCCTAACTAGCGGGTTTTAAACTAACCCTCCTTCGCTACAATGTGCTAACTGGAAGCGTCTTCCCTGCGGCAGACGGTGCCGCCGCAGCTTCGGTCTCAGAAATGCGAGTTCCGGGAGAGGAAGTCCGTTTTCCTAAGCGACGGCCACACCTCGTTTAGGCTCGCACGTTTCGCTCCCTCCCACACTGTAAATAGATACCCACCCCCCTTTCCCCCGCGACCTCACACCTCCTACGGTAAACTCGACTCAATCTAACTCGATCGCTCGAAATGACGCGGCCGTGCCCGTTTCCCGAGCCAACCAACGCCACAACGGGAACGCGGCTGCCGCGTCAAAGGACGCGCGTCTCTCCTTCCAAGTATTTATTTTACCTGGGACACATTCCAAAAGCAGTAGAAGTCGTCGTGTCGGCAAATAAACAGCTTTGCCCTCCAATCCCCCAAGCCCCGTGTCCGTACTTCACTCCGCCGCCAAACGCGGGCGCTGACGCTTGTTCAGCGGATGCTGGCGAAGAGGCTGAGCGCCGAACGGGCTTCCCGCTGGGAGCGGGCCTTGCTGAAAACGTTCCAGAAGCGAAGCGTTTCGTCGCCGGCCCCCGTGACGACGCTCTCGCCGTCCGGAGACACGGCGAGGTAGAGGACGCGGTACGAGTGCCCCGTGAGCTTGGCCACCTGGGCCAGGGACGGGTACTTCCAGACCAGGATCTGGTTTTGGGAGTAGCCGTGCGTGCTCACGAGCTCCGAGGCGTGTTTGGACCACGCCAGGTTGCAAACCTGCAACGGGAGAGAGCGGACCGCTTTTCGTCGGTTCGAGCGCCTAAAATTGCAAAGTAGACTTTTTGAATGCGAGTACCTGGAGGCCCTGGCACTAGCTTCGAGTGTGCTTTGCAAGAGAATGCCTGCTATATTTCGTTCTGCTTGGCAGACGTACCGGACTCTAAAGCCTGCCGGAGTTGTGCAATATGAAACAGGCAAGTTAGAGGGAGGCTGAAAAGGTTCTTGAGAAAAACAAGTTAGAGGTGAATTTTAGAGTATTTTTATCCCATGAATTTAAATATAACGTTCGTTGTCCTCAAAGTTTTAACTAAACGCGAGAAAACACGAAAAACCTCCGACCAGTTGTTACGTCATAAATGAATCTTTCGGCCGCCAAGAGCGTGTTGCTCGTATGTGGGTGGCACATACAACAGCAAGTTTGCCAGGTATTCCCCCGCACTGACACCAGTTGTAAAAATGGGTTAACTGCGGCAGGAGATAAGCAAACATACCTGACTGGGAAGGACAGTTGTCTAAACTCCATTGACCCTCAATGTGCAAACACGTTTGCTAGGTCACAGAATACAAAAATACCCTTTTTTTCCTTGATTGCACTCCGAAGTTTGGGACGTTCCTCGTTAACACCCGATTTGCTTTTGCTTGTAGGTGGGCTATCTTTCGCAATGTCATGGTAGTAGAATCTCTGTGCAGTTGAAAGTGATAGAATAAAGATCCAAAAATAGCGATGCAAATTTCAAGTACGCATACACATACGACTGGCACAAATAATAGAGGTTCTCGCATAATATGGGTTTTTCCCGAAAAAAAAAAAGCAAGCTTCACCACGAAAAGGTTCAGCCATACACAAAGAAATGGGCATAACAGACGAGAAACGCTCGCGATGCATAAAATTGAAGCAGGCAAGCATGGCTTTTGTCATATCCATTTTCGAGACATGACTTTGTAGAGCTCTACCTGCAGACTCGAAAAGCGGGCCCGTAACAAACACTTTCCAGTCGTACGAGAATCCTATAAAGACTATTCATTGTGGCTCGTAGCATTCCGAGGATCAGCTTCCTTTGCGTTCTTTATGCGAGCAACTGAGGCTAAATCCAGAATGGCTGCCTCCACAGTCCGACACTCTTCCCTGCTGATCCTCCTCTCCCGTCGGCCTTCAGCAAATGCCACATATATAAAAAGGCCAGCAGCGCCGAACGCGAGGCGCGGATTACACACGAGCGTTGCGTCGGCGTTTGGCCGAGAGCCCGCTTCGTACGAGGCGAGAAGGGCCGACGCAATCCGATGCGAGCCCACCTGCGAGCCGGTGTCGACGCACTGCATGGGCTGCCCCGTGAGGGTGTTCCAGAAGCGGATGCAGCGGTCCGCCGTGCCTCCTCCGCTGGCCAGCAGGCCGTGCTGGTGCGGGGACCAGGCGATGGCCTTGACGGCCGCCACGTGCTCCGTGTAGCTCTGCACGGGCGAGCTGCTGCTCAGGTTCCACACCAGCAGCTTGTTGTCGTTGCCACCCGACGCCAGGTGCTGGTTGTCCGGCGACCACTTGAGGCCGCACACCTCCTGCCGGTGGCCCTGGGAGCGAAACGAGGACCGCGTCGGAGGTACTGCCGATACTGGATGGGTGCTAATGGCTGTACTCTTAATGACGGACGGTAGGCTGCGCCACTTAATCTAGAAACCGGAAGTATCATTCCTCCCTTTACCCTTTTAAGCCAATTTGCTTCCCCTCTGCATTCTTGCGACTATCACCTGGCAGTGTTGGATATCGCCAGGACAAGTCATGTGGCCTGGAACAGTGTTCCGAACTCGTCACAAGAGCTTTCCGTAACCGGACTGAAAGCTTAGAGTCCCATTGGCCCCATGTTTTCATTTATACATTTATGGACAAATCATACATTCATACATTCATGCACAAACCAGTTAAAGGCATGTCTCGAAGTCTGTCACCGTAATGTCTGAAAGGTGTCGCAAGAGTCGCTCCCACTGACAACAATTTTGTTGCCAGTAAGCAAAGGTGACGACCCCACAACTCTAACTTGCAACAGAAATTAAGTAAATTATGAATAAAAATAAATTAAAAAAAAAAAATTTTAAGAACACCAAAAGAAAACTTAAGCACAAGTTAAAAACCGCTAGAAATTCTGCCGCACGCAAGACAGACATTTATCCCGCTAGAGAGCTTAGAAAACTACTGAATTTAGCGAGAAAACTGCTAATTTGGCAACACTGGCCCAAAGTCTCTAAAACTGTACTCCGTCTCGATGTAACTTGGCAGACAGCGATGGCTACAGTCCCAGTGAGCCAATCAGCGCATCAGAAGCAGATATGACCATGCTCTCACTAGTTGCATGAAGTACAACCGAAGCCACTAACGGGAAAGAAAGGAAAGCTGCTTCCCTCTTTCTAGGAAACCTAAAGCTATGCTTTGGAAACTTTAGGACATCCGGGCTACCCTAGGGCAACTCTAGGGAATCTAAAGTTACCCCTAGAGTAACTCTAGGGGTAACTTAAGGGAACCCAGGGCTACCCTGGGGCAACTCTAGGGAACCTAGGGCTACCCTAGGATAACTCAAGGAAACCCAGGGCTACCCTGGGGCAACTCTAGGGAACCTAGGGCTACCCTAGGATAACTCAAGGAAACCCAGGGCTACCCTAAGGCATGGGTTCTCAGAATGAATTCGGCGGAACCCCTGTGTTCCGTGGACTGCTCGCTTGGCTGCCCGAGCTCCCAAGTCAGTATCCCCCCCTTCCCTTCCTTTCCCTTCCCTTCCCTTCCCTTCCTTCCTTCCTTCCTTCCTTCCTTCCTCCCCTCCCCTCCCCCTCCCCTCCCTCTCCCCCTCTCCCCCCCCCCCCCCCCCCCCCCACCATCCTAGAGTAACTGGGTATCAAGGCTACCCTAGAATAAGTCTAGGGGACCCAGGGCTATCCTAAGGTAACTTTGGGGGAACTCTAGTAAACCCAGGGCTAACCTAGGGTAACTCTGGGGAACCCAGGTCTACCCAATGGTAACTTAGGAGTACCCATGGCTAGCCAAAGGTAACAGGAAAACCCAGAGTTACCCAGATGGCACAAACCTGGAGGACCTGCTCACTGAGCCTATCCACCACCTTTCTCTTGGGAGTAACCCTTCCCCAGTTGCGCGATCAGGAACGCCGGACACGGTACCTGCAGGCGTCGCTCGGGCGTGGCCGCACCCGTGCGTGCGTCCCTCTGGAGGATGAGGCGGTCCCTTGACCCGGACGAGAGCACATCCCCGTTCCAGGCCAGGGCCCCGACCCTGGCAGAGTGCCCCTGGAGCAGGCTCGTCTGCTTGGAGGCCCCCACGTCCCACACCTGCACCAGCCCCTTGTGGGTGCCTACCGCCACCAGGTGGCCTCGCTCTGCCCAAGCCACCGACGTCACCGAGTCGCCTTCAGCCGAGAGGTCGCAGAGACGAGTCACCTGTATGGCATATGAAGAAGAACGGCTGCCCTCACTACACTTTCCAATTCTTGTGCTGCCATCAGAAAACTTTTTAGAGTAACTGGGTGGCCAGAACCAGTGACATTGATGCTAGGACATGTCTGTGAGCTGAAACAAATAAATACACCATAACCTTGGTGGCAACCGCAGTACAACTTGGATTCTCCCCACAGAGCGGCAGTGGTTTTGCCGCTCACCTGTCTGGCTCTACTACGTCCAGCCCACCTTTATGCCTTCGGTGGACAAGACGACGCCGATTTTGAAAATGCACGACATCCCGGATTATCGCGTTTGACAGACCTGTGTGGCACAATGCAACAGAACTGCATAATCCCTCCAAACAAAATGACTGCTATGTGGTAGAGAAAGTGCCAATAACACTAAAAGTTGCAGCGATTTCCCCCTCTTCCTCCTCCTCTTCCCAACATCCTGGCTGTCACATGTCCAGATCTCAAGTATTTCTGGAAAGAACCCTGGGTACAACATAATGTAAACGGCCCGTTCGGAGGTAGTCGCGCTTCCGGGTACCGTCCCGACTCTACACTCCCGCCGAGGTGCAGCGCATTTCGTGCCAAATCCCTCAGAGTCATGCAGCGACGCAACGGGAGAGCCCACCTGGGAGGTGCATGCGCTCCAGAGGTAGACGCAGGACCCAAGCCCCACGCTGAGCACGTTGGTGGAGGACCAGTCCACCAAGTTGAGGTAGAAGTCGTCCTGGAGCTCGGGTGCATCCAGCACCTTGAAGGGGATCTTGGAGATCTTGCGGGCCTGCTTGCGCGGCGAGCTGAGCAGCTTCTGGCTTTTGCCGCTCACGGGCGACAGGCTGTAGGGGGACCAGGGCTCCGGGCCCCGGCTGGGGCCATACCGGAACAGGTTGCGGGGAGGAGACTGCCCCTGGGACGCCCGCCGCTCGTCCGTCGGCTCCTGTGGGTGCCGTTCGTGCTCGTACATGCGCATCGCTCGAAACCGAGTCGAGGGCTGTCCAAACAGGACGAGTTTTCTAGACTCACATCTGCTGTATTGGAGGTATGGTGCCTGGAACGCGTTCTAAACAGTAATCCCTCAATTTCCGCATAATGATGTCTTTATGCAAAAAGTTCCCTAGAGTTGCTTTAGGGTAGCCCTAAATTTGCTAAAGTTACCTTGAGGTAGTCCTAGGTTCCCTAGAGTCATCCCAGGGTAGCCTTAGATTTCCTAGAGTTACCCTAGCATAGCCCTGGGTTCCCCTAAAGCTACCCTAGGGTGGCCCTGGGTTCCCTAGCGCTGGACTGTGTGGCAGACGTCTGTTCAGCTGCCAGTCGTTCTCCTGCTTTGACAGTTCATGGAAGCTTCGGCTGCCAGGAGCTAAAATGCCGGGCTGACAGCGACACTCGCGTTCTCTCGCATTTTTCCAGAGCATCTAAGCTTGGCCCCCAGGACTGCGGCGTCCGACGGCGTGACACTCCGGCTTTCGCGACGTCGTTCGTCGCCGCTCTGGGACCGCTTTCGATGCACGGGGGGAATAGGACGGCAAAAACACCAGACGGAGACGCGCTCCAAGCACCGTTTCGCTAGCGAAGTGCAATGCTCGCCCCAACTCACGGAGCAGAGTGCCCGTTCCAAAAGCGTTGTCCAACACTGTCGGGAGCTGTTACGTTGCTCTTTTGTTGGCGCGCTGTCGTGATAACTGATACGTGCTGGCTGAATTCTGCCCTGTCAGGGGGGTGTAAGTGCTCGTCTGAAGCAGATTTAATTGGCTGCACCGACGAGCAATAGGCTCTCTGCGTCTGGATGCTGGACAATAAAAACTTCCAGAGCAACATCAGACTGCCGAGTCGTTGTCACCGCCGTCGTCAGGCCAGTCAAGCATGCTGGGAAGGTTGCTGTGACATCGCTGTGCCTCTGCTTATACAGAGGTCCCGCCTGCCAGATCTATGTAAGCACAAATTGTGCTTACTCCAGAATTTCTGGTCTACGTGCCTCGTGTTAGCAGCGATTTTGTGTCTTGAAAGACAGACTCGATACGCCATGCAGTTGCTGAACTTTCATGATCTGCTTGCGCACATGACGGGTGGCGGGAACCTTTGTTGTGCAGTTTTGCCCTAAAATGGAGAGGAGTTGTTGTGTTGCTCTTTTGTTGGCGCGCTGTGGAGATATGTGATAGATGCGGGCTGAATTCTGACCCATCAGGGGGGCAAAAGCGCTCGTCTAAAACAGATATATTCGGCTGCACCGACGAGCAAGCAACTCTCTCCGTCTGGCTGCCAGAAAGAAAAAGCTTTCAGAACAACCCCGAACTGTAGAGTCGTCGTTGTCACCGCCGAACGTAACAGCGCGTGCACCCACCTTGGCGTCCTCGATGCCGGCGCCGAGCAGCTCATTCTTAATGAGGCAGGCGTAGGCCAGGCTGTCCTTGGAGCCGTCGGTGGCGTCCTTGGCCTTGGGGGTGGCGCTGCGGCCTCCGTCCGGAATGCGGGCCAGCCCCAACTGCCAGTTGGAGCCCACCCGGCTCGGGATGAAGCGGTCCCCCAGGAGCACGCTGCCATAGCGCGGGGAGAGGCGGCTCACTGACACCTGGACGCCGCCCCCCCAAAAACACCGGAGTCATGCTCCTTCCGCTCCACTCAAGCCATTAATGACTACCACGTCATCGGAAAGGCTGGTTCACATGCTCGCAGGTGCTTACGATCGAGCGCATTACGAGCTCTCGTGACGAGGCAACGCGCTAGTACGATCCACGAGGTGGCCCCGGAACTGTATTTCACTAGAACAAACATTCTTAGGTATTTGCGAGATCAGATGTTTGCACTTTTTACTAGAAATGATTGTTTGGAACGTTGTAGAACGTTTTTCGAGCCTTCCACGGCTCAAAATGAGTCTTCCACGGCTACCCAACAAAAGGCGCAAGTGAATTCTCTCGTCATGAGATATTAAAAAGATGTTGTAAGGGGTTGTAAAGGCTAGTTCACATAGCACCCTTTCCTCACACTTTCTTACATCACATATAAGTCACTGAAACATCCGCGTCTCGAACGTTGCGCGCCAGGCCGTATCCTTGAACTGGTAGCTGCACTTAATAAGAAGCACGACGTCCCAGTGACCTGTGGCGTAACAACTGAGCTTTCGTAACATAACGTGACCTAAGAAAACGGGGCTATGTGAACCGCACTTCAGTGTGTTGAGAACGTGCCTTTATTGAATATATGTACATGTATCAAAATAGTATTGCTCTCAATGGTTCAGGTCTTTCATGGCGATTGTAGGAGCTCAAGTGGACAATGTCTCGGAACCTGGCACGCGTTTCAATGAAAAACCAAAAAATAAGAATGTGTCCAAATTAGATGCATTTTTTTTTAATGCCAAAAAAATGTTGTGTGCCTTTTATATTTGTAAAACAAGTTTATTTAGTGATCTTTAACCATCCTCAGCAACTTTCTAATTGAAACCATACCTATACACTCACTAATTCAAAAAGTTAATTTTGAAGTAATTAATAAACTAATTATTCCCAACATTGTTAATTTTCCTAAATGGGCTTTGGCAGAAACCACTATGGCCTTAAACATTGTCCAGTGTGATGCACACCTTTTTTGCAGGAACGATTTGGGCCGTGTTTCAAGGTACACCCTGTATATAGCACACCACTAGTGTTAATTTTTGTTTGGATGTACGCAAATATGTATATATGTATATCGCAAATTCTCTAACTTCCATACTTTTACCCTCAAGTAATGCATTGCAGATGCCTTTGAGGTAAAATAAATTAAATTAAATGCCAATGAATAGATAAAGAATGATGAAACAGTAAAACCAAGGCGAGCTGCGAAATGACATTCATGCTTCAACCTGAGACTGGGAAAATAAAATAGCCTGAGCAACATGCATGCAGTCAGTATCTGTCTACACTGTTTTTGAAACAATGTGTGTCTCGTGTCTTTTTTTTTCCCCCTTTTTTTTAGTTTTGGGTTAAAGCATAAGTAAAACAAAGAAGCTTGTGTTTCCTCCTTTCGGCTCCTTGCTTCAATTTCACTGCTTTTCAAAAATGAGCAAGTGAAAATCGGATGCTGTCCGACACACTTGTATTTGGGCAGAAGCTGTGGCTTTCTTCGCACGGAACACACTCTAACGAAACGCACTAATCCCAGAAAGTCTTTAATCTATCCTCGCACTTCCCCACTAAATTTTGCGGAGAAATCTGCACCATGTAATGTCAAGCAATCACGTAACACAACAACGGAACACCATGACGTCCATTTCCCTGCTAAATTTAGCAGGAACTCCATTAAACAGTCTGTTCTTGTTCAATCCCCAAAACCACTGCATAATGACTTCTAAACAAATTAAAACAATTGCTCCTTAATAACCGCAGTCTATGCATTACAGGACATTACCGATAAAGATCACTGACAATCTGTTTACCGTCCATTCTGGAACGTGCATTCGTATCTCTTGAGAGTCGGTGCGTGCTAACTAGGGTATTTATAAACCTTGACAAGCGGAAATAGTTGTCTGAACTTGACCCGAAACAAAAATAAGTAATAGTAATAAATTTCCATTTGGGCAAAGAGGAATAGGTCGACAGGTCTGACCGACAACCAAGGCGGGCTTGCGTGGCATAACCTTGCGTTACGAGCACATTTTTAAAAAAGACAGAAATAGTTTTGTGGTGCTCGTTTTAAGTTTATGATCAGGCTGAAAAGCATAAAACGCTCCTGAAGGTTTTTTTATTCATTTTATGGCTTATACACTGAGATGGCTGAGATACCAGTTACTCAGCCCAGAGGCTTGCGAGAGTGTGCAAACAAGACTGTGGCACGCCACTGCAGCACACATGGTATGCCCGTGCACATTCTCACATGTTCGGTGTACTCCACTCGCTTCATACGCCCGCAAGCGAACCACACTCACAGTGAGGAACTAACCAAATAAAGTGGAGAAGGCTATTTAATTTTGACGTCAGGCGTGAATTTCTTAACTGTATTTTTACTATTTTATGAAGTTGCATTCTGCGTGAATCACACATGCTGTCCTTCGCAGCCAGGACGGATATGAAAAACCAACGCGCTAGCAAGGCCGGAGTGATAAGATAAATGTGAATATGACACGTTAAAAGTTGTGTGCCACTGGCTTTACTCGCAAGATTGGGCATCTACATATCATTCTGGTAATTTATTTAACTAACTAACTTTGTTTTGGTCCAGACAGCCACTAAAGTAACCGTCATTCGAATACAGGAAACGTCACGGACGTTAATGTAAACAATTTGCGCCACGTTTGCTGTGAGGCTCGCCATGCAGAGTAGACATGGACATGGACGACGTCTCTTTCAGGCTCGATGTGAACAAGAGAATGTGCTGTTTTTATGACAAGTACCAGCATGAATATGACAAATGTTTAGTGTAATCAAAACGAGACCAACTGCATTTGTACTGAACAGTGGGATATTCACGTCATTGTAAAACACACGAGAGGTCACAAAATATATGAAAGTGCAATGTGACTTGAGAGCATCCAGATCACACTACCGTAAAATCCCGAAAGATGACCCACCCTTGAAAGATAGCCCACCCCTGTGTTTGGCTTGATTTGCTATATCTTTTGAAACAGCAAAAGATAGCCCACTCCTAGTGAGAGTAGTGTTGGGATGAATGATGGCCTTGGCGAAAATGCGGGTAGTTAGCTACGGCAGGATATAAGCAAACACTGCTGACTGGAAACTACAGATCTTTGCATCGATGCCCCTCCCCACGATAACAAGCTTGGAAAGGAGACACTACTCAACTTTTCTTAATTGGACACCGAAAACTTGCCCAATCCATATTTTCACCCGATCGGCTCTTGATTTTAGGTGGGTTATCTCCCGGGATATTACGGTACGGTTGGTATTCACCGGACGCCATATTTCAGGTGACTGCCGACAGCGCATGCTCAGGACAAGTTTCCTGTCAGCTCTCTGGCAACCACAAGAGAAGAGAAGGAGAAACTCTCTTCTCACCGGGACTCTCCTTTGTGTGCCCCAGACTTCCGCAGACTGCCGCTATTCTCCCTCTAGAAGATCATGGCAGATTAACCCATCACTCAAAATTCATACGAAAGCAGCTTTCCACTCTCTCTCACTTCCAGGGTGGCACAAAAGTAGCGGCAAGCTCAACTATGATTGCCAGTGAATGCCAGCCATAAGATTACACAGCTCTTCTTGCACCCAAAGTTGTGTGAAATCTAATTTGAAAATGTCTCCCGATGCTTTCATTTCACAAGACAATGAAATCTTTAGTTACCAGTCAGTCCTGTTATTTACAGTTATCTTCACTTCTCCATGTTCGCACACTCTAATGCTCTACACAACCAAAGCAGCACCAAGTGTGGGTCGCGGTAGTAAAGAGCATGTGCAACGTCTAGAGAAGTTAAGTGCATGCCGGATCATGGAAAAGGAACTGCAAGAGTCAAATATAATGGCAGCCACCACACTCTATCCCACAGATGGTTCAACATCTCGACCTTCAGACGCACTGTCAGTCATTTCAATTTAGGTTGCCAAAACATGTAACACATTTCACTCGTCAGGCAAATTTGCAAATCGAATGTGCCATGGTTGTCGGTTCTAACATTCCCCGAGTTCATTTCCTGCTAAAATTGGAATTATGTGCAGTTAATGTTTTGTCCTATATTCGTAGCTTCTCGGGAGTTTTCGCTTGCTTCGATCAGTACTGGAGCATTTTACAGTGTTTTAATTTTCATATGTACATATGGTTCTCTGTGTTCCATTCTTCTACTTCAGTAAAAGTTTCGTAAGCTCGAGAAACAAAACTTCTATCAACTGTGCTATTCCTATACAAGATTGTGTCATTAAAAAAATATATATATATATCTGTCAAGTGGCCGAGCTTGGTATGTTGATTGAGGAACAAACACAAGAGACTTTGGATAGGAAGCTATAAATGCAAAGACACTTTAGAGTTAAGCAAGCAACACAATCGACACCAGATCACCATAACAAACAGTTGTAGCCTTGCATGTAGCCGTGAAACGCTACACGCAAATTGTTCCGAGAAGGCTAGAAGTGCCTCGCAGATTGAAGACGCCGCCTGTTGAAGCTTGCAAGTTTCAACGTAAACTAGATGTGTTGGAAAGATCAGTCCTGTTTAGTTAAAGTGGAACTGATAAACGAAACAGGATGATTTTCAAAGGATGTCCTAATGTTTTTTGTTTGTTTTACTTCTTTCCAGCTGTCCTTTTTTTTTTTTGGTTTACTTTGTTTTGGGCTCAACCACCTACTTCACGAGTTTCTTGTGAAATCTTGCTCGGACGTGTCATTCTTGTGACGAAATGCTTTACATTCGCGTTGAATCTAGAACGAGAATTCAAAACGCGGGCACGCTTCTTCCGTTAATCTTTTTCTTTATTTTTCACGGGGATGACGCCATGAAAACGAATTCAAGATAGCGCATTCCTTGCGTACACAGCACATCGTTATCTTATCTTTGGAACATGAAACTACACGAAACGCTTGAACGTAAACTCGTTACTGCAGAGCACGCTCGATCACGCCGCCGCCGCAAAACGTACACAGAATTTGCCAAAACAGGTGGGGTGGGGTACTCACAGGACTCGTGGTAGGCGTCAATTGTCCGTTGTACTGACGTAGCAGGCGCTTCTCATAGTCCGGGTCAATCATGATCTCGTACTCACTTGCTTAAACTGGCATCGTTTCAGGCACCTTTGTGATGTACTTCGTTCAAGGAAGTCTGACGATCACTTGGCGAGTTTACGTTACCGCACGAGACTTCGCTCCGGGCTCGTCGAGGCGGGTACCGAACCTTCGCTTCCGGGGCTTCGTTCAGTCCGTGCACTATTCACATCAGATGCGAATTACAGGGGTACTGCTTTCCGAAAACACAACGTACGTTTTGAAATGCTCCGCGGCCCCGTCGCTTTTGAAACGAACCACGGGGGATGCGTTGAACGCTCGCTCCCCCAACAGATGGGAAGCGTTGCTCCGTACAGGGGCCAGCGGACGCCTCGCAAGCGTTGTTGATGAACCAGCACGTGTTTTCTGTCTACCAGGAATAGCTTACAAGAAGCAGGTGCTGCTTCCTTTTAAGTTATTCGCTTCACCAGGCAAACAAACACGGAAGGTAAACGAACATGGTGGCTTTGCACCTCTCCTCGAGTCTCGCCTTTTAAATGCTTCCGAACGTGACCTGGCGAGACGTGCAAGCGATGTCGATGCGTAACTCGTCTTTGCATGAGTTGCGCGTTCTCACTTTTACGGTTTCGGTTTAGCGTCTTTTCTTCCGGTATGGCCCCTCTACCTCGTTGGACCCGATATTAAATATATTTACTATTATAACTTATAGGTGAAAATTGGACGCTGTGATTCTGAAAAATTTGATGCCAGACAAATTCTTCGGGATAGACCCCTCTACCTCGTTGGTTTAATATCATGCAAATATATTTTTCTTTTTCGGCTCATGCTGTCTGACACGTCTAATGAGTGCTTGCCTCTATAAGATATTGACTGGGTGAGTCTCTGTGCCCCTTGCCCCACGAGGATAAGCAGGCTCTGACAGGCGGTTTCTACTTTCGTTGCAAAGGGCTAAAATATTGGCGATTGTTCGTTTGCTTGTTTCGGTTGACAAAAAAAAAAAAAAAAAAAAAAAAAAAAAACGTCAACGATACACAGCACATAGCAAAACGAAAGGCGCTAACAACAAACACCATCAAAATGGTGCTAGTTGTTAGCAACAAACACCATTTTTGTCATTAAAATGCCAAAAATGAAAAAAAAATCTTTACGTGTTTTTTAACAAGATAGTGCGGGCAAAGATGGAACATACTTGAGAGGAGTGGTCTACGCGAGACAAACGCCGATGAAGCGGCTGAATAAGTAAATTCCTAATAAGAAAAAAAGCTATTTGAAGAAGTGTAAAAAAAAAAAAAAATTCAGCCTTTCCACTTTCATGAAGAAGGAAGACCAGCGGAGCTGAACTCGATACAGTGTGTGCTTCGTGTTCGTCGTCGTCTGTTTTTCGCGCTGTTTCCTACGATGAATTCCCACCAACGCGCCCAACTAGGGTGCCTACGCCCAACTATCCATTCTTCTATTATACCTGGACAGCTACCGCCATCTACGAGCGACAGCGGAAACCATACTGGTTGTGTGTTTGTCGCCGTCGCTTCTAGATGGTGGTAGCTGTCCAGGTAGGTTTGTGTCAACATACACGGACACGATCCTAGGGGACCGTAGCCCTTAGCTCCGCTGTAAAAAAAAAAAAAAAAAAAAAAAAAAAAAACGAGCATTGCTAAGCACTTTTTGTAAGTTGTGAATGGGAAAGCATGAAAGTCGTTCTTCCGCTCCCTTAGTTCGTCTGCGGTGTACTGGCGTGAACGGCCACGTTTCGCTACTGCCGAGGTTGTGGCCGCCGACCACATAGATGCCTCAGACGCCTCCATGTTCTTCGGCGTCGAGAAAAGCAGAAGCTAGAGTCACTACCAGGGTGTAAGATAGACAGGTGGTGAAACGAGAGCCAAATGAGCGACCGGATTGTGTCCCTCTCGGTTTTCTCTTTTTCTGTGGCGCCATCTATGTGGAGCACCGCGAACTCTCACTCCAGGTGGGCGAACGCTGGCGACCGGTTAAACTGATGGAGAAGGTTTCTCGTGGATTTTCAATGGAGGGCTGTCGTGCTCTCAGTTTATTTTGCGCACTCTTCCATAGAGTTCCATGCGAATTCGATTCCAATTTTTTTCTTCTCGCCGCAGCGCCATCTGTCGCAAATCGGGGGTACCCGCAAGCCACCCGCAAGCAGACGAGTACACAATCCGGTCACGGCGCTGCGGTAGGTTTCTATGGGCCGTTTCCCCACCTGTCTATCTTACACCCTGGTCGCTACATAAAGCTACGCTTTATGTAGTGACTCCAGCCAACGCAACCGCAGCCCCAATAATTTTAATTCCTGGGGAAACCCCTAGATGGCGGCGTAAACGGACCAACGTTGCGACGTAAGTACGTGGGACTGCTACTTCGGAACTGTGGTTCGTAATACCGGCCAATCGATCTCCAAGCAGCACACAGCGAGGGGAAGGGATATAAGCATAGAGTAATACAGAAGACGTAAAGAGAGGACACTATAAAGCCGAATCGTGGCCCAGATAGTGCGTTTAATGCTTTCCGCTAGCGTGGCGCTTTTCTGTAATTTGCTTAAAGTTAATTAAAACTCTTTCAGTGAGGAGAATTTATTTTTTAAATTTTTATGCTTTATAATTATTTAAAGTACTTAAAAATACTTTTAAATAGTTTTAATTTAATACTTCACAAAAACCACGTGATGAATAGCGTCTGGTTGAAGTTGAAGACGACAAAGATGCAGTTGAAGACGACAACGCATGCGTAGAATTTCGGGGGAAAAAAATCTGCGAGACGTGGCATCGAATTTAGATATTTAACAACGTTCCCAAGCAGCATATATATCCTATGGACTTCCACGGGACACCCAGGAGATCCATGAAACTTGTGGGGGCGTCGTGAGAAGAATAGGACGGCCGGGAAAGGCGCGAGTGGGGGCCAGCCGGGGGCAAGCGCGAGAAAAGGAAAAGAACGTGAGGCACGAGGAGAACGCCAGGATCCGAGATCTGGAGAGGGCCGTCGTATTTTCCCGTCACTCCGCTGCTTCAGGACCGGCGGCCAGTGGCCAGTGAGGACAGCCAGGCCGCCTCCCGGGCACGAGAACAAGAGAGGCACCCGGCAACCGGAGAAAAAAAAAAATTAAAGCAAGCTACGTTTACTTCCAAACTTGCCGTTGTGTGATATCTTGGGGAGCGAACGGAGCTAGCGCAGCCTAACCGGGCGGAACTAACCTATTGAGCGGCCTACAAACTTTAGGACACCCCGAGGATGTACGGAGGACCATGTGTGCTGCAAGGGCTTGCTACTAAAAAAAACAGCGTCAACATTAAAAGAAAAAAAAAAAAAAGAAGAAAAGCGCGGCTCTGGGAACCGAGGAGCTTTCGAGAGCCTAGCGAGGAGGTAGGCGAGGACGAAGGAGAAGGAGAAGGGTACCAGAGAACCGGACCAGAAATGCCCAAACTGAAACCGAAACTAACTTGACCGGAACCAGAACCGCTAAAAGCGCCAGCTGTCACGGGTCTATCTGGGCCGCTGGGACCGTATGGCAAAGTCCGCTCTTTACCATGAGTATATTATTTTATGACATAAGTACGAAACAATCGTACGGCAAACAGATCAAGGAACGTCCTCGTTGTCGTCGTCTGCTTCACACGCCCGAGAAGCGAAGGAACGGGAAAAGCTGGGTAGGAGGCGGCACCTAGTTTCCGCGATCGCCTTCGGTTCCATTGGCTGGCGGTTTCCACGACCACTCACCCCATGGCGCTGCGTGTCCATCAGCGAGCGTCCAAGGTCACCACGCGCGCTGACCGGCGACGAAAAGTACGCAGCAGACGAAAGAGGGAGCGCACGAGCGGCTTGTACGCTTTCGCATTCACAACTCATAAGAAGTGCTTAGATGTACCTCGAGCTTCTTTTTTTTTTTTTTGGTTTTTACTTTATTAAAAATATACGCGACTCTGTAGCACAATATTGCTTGGGTAGCCTCTGACACCACACTCAATTGACTAACAAGAAAACAAAACAAAAAAAAAACCTTTGAGGGTGTCAGTGTCTCTTTCAAGCGTTGAAGTTTCGCGTAATCGACACGTCATGAGCCGAAAACTGCGCAAATATTCACATTAAGACGATATAAGTGAACTGAATTTGCGCGACTATTAGCACAAAGTGTATTGTGTAAGAATAAAAAATGTACATATAGGAAACATTTTATACATAAACTGCAAAGACAAATGAGGTGTGACCTTTTTATTTTATTCAAACAAAACAAAGTAACATCCCACTACAATTTTTAAAAACAGCAACATGAACAACAAACGGCATACACCCTGAAATTGTGATCCTTCATTTTTTTATTCTTGTGACCTACAGTTAAATAAAAATGTTGGCAAACGAGAATAAAAGTGAGTCAACTGGAATTGCACAGGGGTACAAAAACGAAGTCCAGCAAAAACAAAAAGCAGAGACCGTTCTTGGATTCACTGAACCGCATGCAGAAAAAAAACTAACTGAAAATCCGACTAAAATTTTGAGAAGACAAAGGTATTTACTGTACGTACACATCACACATGTGCTTTCATCAGACGCATTGTTACGGCTACTATACGAAAAATATCCACACGGCGCACTCCGTTGTCTGCTCGCTGCCCCTATCGGAAGATGGGCCATACATTCATCGCTAACCCGGTCGTTCGCGAACACAGGGAGTGAATTGCGCCTTGAAATTTTAGGGGGTAAAATGCACCACCTCAACGCACGTTCCGTGAAAGCTTGAGCCGTTTGAGCTTTCTATGCGCAGGCGCCGATTTTTCTGGCTTGTCTCACAGCCAAAATTACTCGAACGCTCAGTTGGGAAACTCACTTTTGACACCCGGACCGCTCGCGTCCACCAAGACCAAACTAAATGCGCTAACTGCGCCACCTTTTAGCGACTAGTCAAAACACGAAATGGCGACGCGTGATGGCGCCACACCGATACATGCAGGCGTGCATTTCCCGGTGTGGCCGCTGCGGAAGAAATAGCGGCGTTGCGATCGCCATTAGTTCGGTTCTCGAGTACGGATCGAAGCCACTTTTTCAAAGCAGGCTCCATGGCAGTCTCCCAGTTGAGTTCTAGTAACGTAGTTCACAGGCCAAGATTACAGTGGTAAGATCCACTGTCTCTTCTTCTTTCTCTTCCTAGATTCCAATTTTCGGTTAGTTCTTCACACATGATCCAAACAGACAAAAGGAAATGTACCTCTGTTTGAATTTCTGTACGTGCTTGACTCGCCGTTATTGAGTGCGTACCTTCATAAGTGCTCGGGAATAGTCCCTTTTGAAAAATTCATCAAGCAACACTGATGGTCGCCATTATGGGCACGAAGCGCGTGATTGGATCTGAGTTCTTGCAGAACGCTGACGCAGCTAGCCCTCGCGCGCAGAGTGCGCGATAAAGCAACGGCGGACAGACGACGGCGCGAACTTTTCAAAAGTCCGCGCCATCGTGAAAAAAAGATTCACGGCATCCAAATTCGTCCCTATGGAGTCGGACGAATAACAAAACAATGGGAAATAGTAACGCGGTGGGGGACGGCGTTTGAGCATGTCCATTGAACATTTTGAATGGCCTTTCTGTAGGACAAGGCGCATACGACGCCGCTAGTCTGCGGCTGACAGTGCAATGGGAGCTATGCAATCGCCGGACCAATCAGACACCTCCCTTTCATCGCCTGCCCCGCCCTCAGCGCGTGGGTACGAGCGGGAGCGCCGTGATCACGTGGCAAAAGATAAGCCTACGCGATTGGTCCAACGAGCACGTAGCCTCCACCGCACTGTCAGCCTTTGCTAATGAGGAGTTGGTGGCGAAGATATCGAGTTTAGGGGAAGCTCCTCCCAGCTCTTTCCCCCTGAGCAGGGCGAACACTGGAGAGGAGGTCGCCTCCTCGCCGGCATTCGCTCTGCTAAAGTAGAAAGAGGGTAGGAGGGAGCTTCCCTAGAACTCTGCATTCCGCATACCTACTTCCAGCGCCACCCGGTTGCAGCAACCTTGCGACAACACGCGAAGCGTCGACTATGGTGGGCTAGAACGGGAACTTAGACGGTCCCACGGACGAGAGCGACTCCGTGGCAGCGTAACCGGTACGCTGAAAGCAGCGCCACCTTGCACTCCAGGGCTAGAAAAGAAGAAATGGAAAAAAAAGAAAGAAAGAAGGGCAGATTGAACATTGAATTCCAGTCTGTAGAGGTACTCTTCAGCAACATACCGGACGCGACCCCTTATACAAAGTGTTTTAATTTATTCAAACCAAACTATTATTAAACAAAAAAAAAAAAAAAAAAAACGCGAGTGTAAATACGGTTAGAACACAAAGGGCTAATCCTCACGATGAATTAATTTTTGAGTAAATAGGAAAAATAAACACATTGAATGTCACCGACTTTTAGAACGACTCCAAGTGCGGCGGTGCACCAAAGTTACCGCTCGTCATGCAGCAGGAGCAAGGCTAGCGGTGCGATCACGCGCGCACAGCCCCCAGCTAGCCTTGCGCGTGGTGCACCAGTGGTAACTTGAGCGCGCCACTTTGGTCAAAGTCTTAAAAAAAAAAAAGGTAAATGATTTAGCGTTTTTCGATGACGCTCAGTAAGTTTCTAATTGGAACCATATATGTCTATTTTCACTCATTAAAAAAAAGTGAATGAAAAAATTTTTGTTAATTATTCGACTCACAGTGACGATTAGCCCCCTATATTATGTACCCCTGGTCGTATAACCCACCTATACAAACCGCATTAGTGTGCCTTTCATTGTTTTTTTTTTTTTTTTTTTTTTTTTTGTAATAGATCTGTTTAAACTAAATTAAACACACTGTATTTTGTAGTCATGAGCGAATAGTGGATTTTGAGTTCGAAGCGAATTCGAAGTGAATAGCGGTTTTGGCCGAATATTTTCGAGCCTAATATCGTCGTATAGTTCTTCGAACCTTTCGCTACTGTTGCACCATGGTTAAACGAAAACCCAGCTAAACTCGTGAAGGTTGAACCCTAAGTTAAACCCTCGGGATGGCAAGTGAATTACGAATGTGACACAAAAGTAAACCTATAGAGATGTCCCGCTACACCTAATTTAGTGGATTTACAAATCTTGCTTTATGCAAACAATCTCACTGCAGTTTCGAATAAAAAAAAAAAAAACTGTTTAATCTTGAAAGTTTTGCTACAATGTATACATATCAACACTCACGAAGTTTCCGTTTCTTTTATATACAACGGGCGCACGCGTGCACCGTCTCTCTTTGAAGGTGTACTTTTCCTTCCAAGTTTTGATCGAGGCAGGTCACCCCGCTAAGTGCGCTTCTCCGCAGTGCACCGGTGCTCGGTAAGAGGCGCACTCAACGGGGCTAACGCGCCGCAGCGATGAACACTTCGCTAAATACGAATATCGCGGTTAATTTCGAAGCAAATATCGAATAGCGTACTATTCCAAACTACTAACATTCGCAAAACACTTTCTTCTATAGATGGCTTGCAGTTGACGTCATTCCGCCCTTTCTGGTGGCCAGAAGCGCTTCGTTAACGCAGCGGAAGCAACCCTCTCACGTTACCTTTCCCTCGATATGCCTGACAAAGTTGCGTGCTCCAGTTCGTTTTTCAACCCTATATCCATAGAATTAATTGTTCTTTGCCGTTTGTGGCGCTGCGGTCAGTTTACAGAGGGTATCATAGGGATAGTGACACATGATGCGTGAAGCCCGGGACTTCTTTCAATTTGTCTGAAGTCTACAGCGCTTGCGGGGAAGCGACCTTGCGGCTGGACATATGTTTCGTTCTGCGCTCGCGAAGTGTAGGTATTTCAGTGAAGTCTTGAGAACAGGAAGATGACCAATTTAGCCAGTGCAGACCAAACCGCCAACCCGTTTTTTTTTTTTTTTTTTTTTTTTGTGTGTGTGTTTTTTTTAGCATGCACCGCACAGTAGTGATACACGACCGCATGCCGGTACGATGCTCATCCGGATCAAAACGGGCAGGGGTGGGGATTTAACTTAGGATCCCTCGGCGCAGCAGAGCGAGCTTTTGCTCCAGGTACTCCGAGCTGGTGTGCGCTAGCTTACTCGGCCATCGAACCCCCATGGAAGCTTCGCGAACCTTCGGATACTGTACGCGTTCCGCTTACGCATGCGCAATTACGTTCTTTCTTTCTAACCAAGCGTTGTTTCAAAGCGGCCGCCTAGGAGCAAAGGACACAACTAAAATTTGGTCTTTTTAGACTTAGGCTAGGTGGCGCAAGCTACCGCCCGTTACAAAGGGTATAGCCACAAACATCCATTCATTCATCCAACCAAGCGCGCGAGATGCACGACGGCGCATGCGGGATGAACCGTCACCTCCCCGTCGTGTCTCCTGCAAACGCGACGGTCGCTTCTCCCGCAATATTTGGAGTCAAGAAATTGAGCCGGTTGCGATACTCCGCTCGGCAATCGGAGCATTACGCAGTTGCTCTAGCCACACCTTCCGACCACACCTCAGCCAGACAGTCGGTCGATGAGGGCCCAGATTCTATTCCACACGTTGGTGTCCCTGTCGATCCGTCGCGTCGTCGTGGTGCGCAGGTTGCCGTTGGGGCGGGTTGGTGCCGCACCCTTGGTCGTGGACGTGCCGGCCGCGTCGCGAGCCCGGTTTCCGTTGGACGAGTCCTCGGACGGTCGGCTCACGCAGGATCCTTCGCGGCAGTACTGGTGGACAGAAGAACCAGTTTGTAACGGGGTAGAGAATAAAGATCGAGATGATTTAAAGGGAGACTCAAATCATGATTTAACTCATGATTGAAATCAAAGCGGTTTTACTGAGGTGATTTAAATCAAACATTTCTGACAGAAATAATACCAAAAATAATTTTATTTACCGCTCGTCTACCTTTCGTTGCTTTTTACGTGAATTTGATTTGTATTTAATTGTAATAATCATCAAGGAAGACAGATTTATGTCGGGCTAAACACGAGCACCAAACAGTGTGGTCTTCTAAGCAAATCGGGAACTTTGGGCTTGCCTTCTTTTTACTTTCCATTTCTATCGCCAATTAAACGGACAGCGACTGGGTATTTATGCTCGCCGAGGTTTTTATTTGAACATGACCTATAAGAGTCCAACTACCCATAGCCCAATTTGCGGGGGAAAAATTGGATCAGTAATTTAGATTAAACCTAAAGAAATAAAATTTAAAAAAAACATTCCTTCTTGAAGAGACCCAATATTATATACATTTGTCTTTTATATTACAGATTAAAAAAAAAAAAAAGCAAAAGAAGCCAGTGGAGAAATCTCGTTGTAGTCTCAACCAGGAAACAAGATCAAGAGGCACAAAACTAAATGAACTATAATTTAAACTATACCATTATAACCATAGTTTACACACGATAAAAGACCGCCGCTGACAAAACGTAGGTAGTTTCGCTGCCTCTCTGTTTTTCTTTCTTGATTGGCTTTTAAATCAAAAATTTCGTTTTTGGTCATGCTAAACCTTATTTATTTATTTTTAATTGGTTTCAACCTGTCACACCGTTTGGTGGTACAGGTAAAGAGACACATTTCTTTTTATTTTTTTATTTATTTATTTTATTTTTTTTTTTTTTTCATTTTAGATCTCATTTACAAATTGTCTAAATTGTCCCGTTTCGTGACGTCAGAAAAATGGTGCGTTTTTATAGAGTCGAGCATTCTTCTCCGGGAAGTGGGAGGCAGAAATTCCCCTGTACATCTTGTTGCGTGATAAAGCAAAGCGCCGGTGCCGATGCCCTTCCAGATCGAAACGGGGAAGTGCGGAGGCTGAGCCGAGGATCCCTTGGGACTCCGACGCGATACACACACGTACTCCCTCACACATTCGACAACCCTTCCCCAGTTTTTTTTTTTTCTTCTTGTTTTTACGTACTTTTATAATATGGTGCATTTACGGCATATATGCGTCGCATGAACCAATTAAAAACAGATGCTAACGAAAGACTGCTTTTATTAAAGGTTCATACCTTTCCGGTGGCACATATGGTGCCATCCAACGCCGGGTGAGCGGAGCTCGCATACGTCCCCTCCAGACACCATAGTTCTCGACACACGTCCTGCACAGAAGATTGGTAACAATATGAACATGCGTGCAGTTATGGTGGCATGGAACGCGTCTACGACTGGTGTGTTCAGCGTCCTCATCGAAAGCGAGTCCCAAAAAGTGGAGTAGCCAGGGGAAGGGGGGGGGGGGGACCTTATGGCTCTACCCCCCCCCCCCCCCCCCCCCCACCCTTCTCCTTTGAAATATCCAGCTGACTCTATAACATACACGTGCAATTTGACCCCCCTCCGTCCTTCGCGCCCGGAGTCATCCCAGCCACCTCAGCCCTCAGCTCCGCTGCCGTGCCACCGCATCGCGGTAAACAACAGCATGGCGCTTAAATGACGTCATGAGGTGGAAATCAGGGGACCGCATTTAATGACGCGGTAAGCACACCAGTCGGATACACGTCCCAGGCAGCATCGCGTCGCAACTCGAAGATGGCGAGTATATGACTCACGTTGAAGGGAGTCTTCTTGCTCGTGTAAGCCTTGTGAGAGGTTCCCAGGGCTAGCCTGCACTGGGCGTCCGCGTCGTAGAGCTGGCCGGGCAGTTCCCCGGAAAAGTCGACTACGGATCCTCCGGAGACGGTCTGGGACTCGAGGCAGGCCGCCGTGGGCTTCCTGCAACACGAGTGTTAGAACGTCTATTTGGTTTCGCTTTGCGCTGCGACACAGAAGAGCGCCATCGTCGCCGTGTGTTTGACGGAAGTAAAAGAGATGCGCAAGCTGGGGGTTTGTAGCTTATCGTCAAAACAAATGCAGTGCACAAAAAAAAAACAAAAAAACAAAAAAAAAAACGCGTGTTTGTTGGTATGCGTGAAAGTTCCGGTGAGCGCGATCGTTTGTAGTGAGGACATCAACCACGCAAAGAGCACGGCTTGCCTTCTCGTTGTCGTCCCCTCCCCTTTCTTGTTTTACGGAAGTTGGGGACCGACAACAACAGCTGAGGTCTTGACGACGGCCAGCGGAGCGTGTGAGTGGCTGTCCAGACCCACGTGATGAGCGCACTTTGTTGGGTGTGGGGTGTGACGTCATACGTGGCGTCATACCTGTCTCAGCCAATCAACATCAATCAGGCGCAAGCCTCCTCTCCAGCGTTCGCACTGCTAAAGTGAAAAGAGTGGAGGGTTTCGCGGGTCGGGGATCGACTGGCGATGACGTCAAGGGCGGGCCTTGACTTCTAGTCGAACCGGCGCAAGGCCGACGACTCACTCGAGGAAATCGTCCAGGTAGCGTCCGCTGCACCGGGACCACTTGGTCTTGCCCGCCCCGGTCTTGGCGGACATGAGGAACTTGTCCGGGTCGCAGTCGTTGTCCGGCGGGCCGTCGTGGTGCATGCCCAGCGCGTGGCCCAGCTCGTGGGCCACCACCAGGGCGGCCTCCATGCTGCGCGCCTCGCTCAGGGTGCAGCTGTAGCGGCAGCGGCACATGCCGTTCACCCAGGCGAGGCCTAGGACGCGGTTGTTGCGGCCCTTGACCAGGTCCAGGCCCGAGAGCAGGAGGGCGTGGTCCCAGCCGGAGCTTCGCGCCAACCGCTGCCGCATCGAGCACTGCCACGTGCAGAAGTTGTCCAGGTAGCGGTCGATGTCTCGGTTCGCCGTCGACGGAGCTGTCTGCGTCATAATTGTGTCGCAGTATGTTAATTATGTTTTGTTTTTACAGATTTGTCTAAAAATGCAATGAAAACAAACATGCCAAGCAGGCGGACGTAAGAAATGGCAAAACGTAACACGAATTAGCAGGATAATTAATTAAAATTTACGATCTTTTTTTTTTAATTAGTGAAAATGAATGTATACGGTGTCTCAAGCGGAGCTTCCGCAGTAAAACAAGTCGTAGAGATTGGCCCCTGCACATAAGAAAAGCTTGATGTTGCACCGAATGTGCACTGAGCAGGTTAGTCTTGCAGTGTGGAATCTCAAAACGCAGTGTTGAACAACTCAGGTTGTCGTACACAAGTTGCCGCAGTTTTTGTTGCTGAAAGCTGTCGTACCAAGGCAACATTTTCGTTGTCATCCGTTTCGGAAAGGGAGAAAGCTAAAAAAATACACCCTGCACGCACGCACAGAAAAAAAAAAAAAAAGTTTCATCCCAAAACGGTTGCCCACGAAGAAAAGCAAATCAGAAAAAGAGACAAGCTAAAAAAAAAAAAACATTCTGCACGCGTGCAAAAAAAAAAAAAAAAAAAAAAAATCTTTCTAGCGCGTTTTTACAAGGCGGAAGCGAAGGACCCTCGTCTTCAACGAACGCATCGTGAGAGTTCATCGTAAATGGTTTTTGCTATACCGAATGACTTACTATATCGAGCTTATCGTAGCATTTCCTGCTGTTCGTTATAAGTAGGGTTCGGAGTTTTCGGTTTAAACCGATAAAAACCGATAAAAGTACGCCGAATCCATTTTCGGAAATTCGGTTTTAACCGAAAAAGGTCAGTTTGTAGGTTCGGCGTGTTCATTTAAACCGATAAAAACCGATAAAACTACGTCTAATCCGTTTTCTAAAATTCGGTTTTAACCGAAAAAGGTTCGTTTTTTAGGGCCGCGTCGAGATGGGTGGGGGAGGGGGGGGGGGAGAGAAAAAGGGCTTTGCAAGGTTCGACATTGTGTGACGTCTTCGTGATTGCCCTCTTCCAAGGTTCAACATGCAACAAAAGAGGTCTTGGATTGGCCTTCGCGGTACATCTGTGTTCTTTCTGTGATCGGGCTTAGTGGGTCAAGTTCCCGGTTCTAAAAAGAAAGTTCGGATGTGAGCTAGTATAAGGATTTTCGTTTCATGTACTTCAGACGACCTCGAAGAAAACCGTTGTTAAAAACATAACTACTATGGATTTTTTTTTTTTTGTTATTCCGCTGGGTGCTGTACTGTCATCACCTCAGAGGTCACGTCGTTAGAAGGGGAAGAAAAAAAAGCGTGCTGAAGATTATGCCCGCGAATTCCGAGATTTTGAGGTGTGTCCAGACGGAAGTTGTAGTTGAGGACGACGTATGTATATGGGCCGTTGTTCTTTGAGTAATCACAAATATCACAGCTACAAGGATAATCTGATCCGGTGTCCGATGGTCTTTCTTTTATATTCACCGAAAAAAAACGGTAAACCTTTTTGGGAATAAATATACACCGAAAAAAACCGAAAATTGAATTTTAAAATAAACACCGAAAAAAGTACGCCGAATTTTGAAAAAATAAAAACCGAAAACGCCGAACCCTAGTTATAAGCGAGTTTGACTGTGCTGCTATTGCCACGATGTGACAGGTTTGTCGAACAATAACGGGAGCAACAAGTTGCCCGACTGTTGGACAACATGTTGTCTAACTGTTGTGTTGCTGTTTTTGTCATGTTGCCTCAGTGTGACAGGGCCTCCAGCGATCAGGGAAACACTCCAACACAAGTTGCTGCTGTTTTCGTTGCCGAAAGCTGTCGTACCGAGGCAACATTTTCGCTGTCGTCCATGTTCTGCTACTGTTGTTGCGATGTGACAGGGTTGTCAGAGAACACGGGGAGCGAGCAACAAGTTTCCCGACTGTTGGACAACATGTTGTGTTGCTGTTGCCGTCGTGTTGCCTCAGCTCGCGCCCATTGGCTGAGTGCAACACCTGGCACCGGCGCGCTGTAAACTTGTGGCGCCATATACCCGATAAGTGCAGCGAGCAAAGAACAGGGTACGTCGTCTGCTCGCAGGGCCTATGGGAAGATGGCACCACAAGTTAATAGCGTCGGTAATTCGGTCTACGAACGGGTCTAATGAGAACTTCGACAATTATTGTGCTTTCATTTCTCTACAGAGATACGCCTTTACATTTTACACTGTAAAACTGACCTGCTCGAACTGAGCAGATCAGTTTGAGTTTTAGCCTTTTATGTGCAGGCACCGATTCTTGCAGCTCGTTTTACAGCGGAAGTCCGCTTGTAAAAAATAACACAAAAAATATTCATTTTCTTTTTTGTTAGGCGATTTAATGTGGTGTTAGAAGACTACCAATCAATGTCTTTCTACAGCATCACATATATTTTTAATAAAAAAAAACAACAAAAAAACACGTAATTGCTCAAAACTGAAATTTAAACTGGACAGGGAGGAAGAAGAGAGGAGGAGAGAGTGGCCGGAAGTCACGTGGCTACATCCAACTGCGTTTTCTTTCTTTTTTTTTTTTTCTTTTTCTTTCAGCTTGGTGGTCGGGAGTGTCATCAGAATCAATCCCAATTGTTTTGATCGGCAAACAATTTTTCTTTCGAAGCAAGACAGATTCGCAACAGTTCTGAAGTAGAGGTGCGACACCCGTCGTTCGCCGCCATCGCATAGTCCACCTCGTTCAGCTGTCCAGACCGCGACTTCCGTAATACGACACCATATTGTTCAGCTAATTAGTTTTTCTTTTTATTATAGATTCTCTGGCATAAGCCGTGGCTGATTTTTTGTCCCAGTAAATACTTTTTCCTCATCCTTCCTACCATAAGGATTTTTTTAGACTTCCCCCAATCACGCCATGGCAGCTAAAAAAAGTAGCCCCCCCCCCCCCCCCCCCCCACGCACACACACGCACACATATACACATACCTTTCCCCTGGGTCTCTCCGGGCAACCCTATGGCCACTCCTAAGTCCTAACCCGACACGTTTTTTTTTTTTTTTTGCTATTAATTGATAAAGAAAAATGTCCTTCTCTTTCCCGCCTTTCCGCTCGCGTACCCCTGCGCACATGCCGAATAAGTTTTTTTCGAAAACGTCGTTGTATGTACCTGCGCATCAAGCAGCTCGACACGAACCACGTCCAGCTTGATCGGCCTCTCAAGCGACCTGTACGCCAACACCAGCTGCACCTAGAAAGAAAGCGGCCGGAAATACGAGAATCATTCAGTGTGATATATATGCAGGGTGTTTCTGCAAAAACCTTTAAAAGATCACTAATAATATGCTGCTCAAAATGAAAAAAAAAAAAATGCGGGAACAATTTATTATTTTTGGCGGACGTCAAAAATCGCCAAAACAAACTAACTAGCAATATGATTACCTAAGATTTACTAACTGATTTTTTTTCAATTATTGAAAATGAATATATGGTTCCAGTGAGAAACTTGCTAAGCATAATCGAAAATTGCCAAATCAGCTCTCCTTAAAAACACACTAACTAGCAAACCTGAGATTTACTAACTGATTTTTTTTCCAATTATTGAAAATTAATATACGGTTCCGGTAAGAAACTTGCTAAGCATAATCGAAAATTGCCAAATCAGCTCTCCTTAAAAAGATGTGAGGTAGGGGCAGCATTTTACGGCGTTCTAAAACAAAACAAAACAAAAAAAAACGATCAGTTTTAACGCGTTTCCAGGTTTGGGTTTCTCATCGGAGCGCATCTTTGCGCCCGCGGTCCTGCTCCCTGGTGGTCGCGGCGCGAAGCAACCCCCTCGCCCCCACAAGTTGGCTTCACTCGCCCACCGGGGCCGCGGGCGCAGACGTGGGCTCCGATAAGAAACCGAAACCTAAAAACGCGTCCAAATTTCGCGTTTTTCTTTTTCTAGAATGCCATAAAATGCTGTTCTTGCCTTATATATTTGTAAAAATTAATTGATTTAGACGTTTTCGATGATGCTTGGCATTGATTGTAATGCGATTAAATGCAAAGGTGCGAGCGAGCTGGACAAGAAGACGAAAATAATTCCTGGAGAAGGGGAACAAGAGGGACAAAGGACAAAAACAGCTAGGTGACTGGTGCGCGACCGAAAAAATCCGCCTGGTCCAGGAATCGAACCCGGAACCTCTCCATCTCCAGTGGAGCGCTCTACCACGTTACATTGTCGAAGTTTGGAAGGCTCGATCGAATGTCCCGGAGTGGTTGCCAACAATGGAAAAGCCGTTACAAGTAATTTTTGTTAACCCTGCCACGTCAGTCGGTAAGCGATTGACGGCATTTTACAGTACTGTATTTTTTGGTTGCACTACGTCAATGGCGGCAATAAAGAACTGAGCTAACCAGGGGTGAGACGTCAGTAGAGTATGTGACAAGTTAGTGGCGCACCCCTCCAGTCGGCCCGTCTGCGGCCGCCAGGCTCGGCGGGCAACATTGTTCACCGCACTAATAAACGCCGTTGAACGTACGCCGCTCCGGTCAGTCATCGTCCACCCTCACAACCAGGAGCTGTGTGTCGTCTCTCCTCGGCGGGTGCTTCGGCCCCCTTCGTCCACGTTCGAGAAAGATCGTGACACTGGCGACGAGGATGGGATTCGAACCCACGCGAGTTATATCAGCTGCCACCAGTCTAACACCAACAAGGGTGAAGCTTGCAATTTAAGGTTATGGAAATGGAGATGTCCCGGGTTCGATATCCGAACCAAGCGGATATTTTCGGTCGCGCACCAGTCACCTATAGCATGTATTTGGAGATTTCTGTTTATCCTTTGTCCCTCTTGTTCCCCTTCTCCGGGGATTATTTTCCTCATTCTTGGTAAGTTTCTCACTGGAATAATATAAATATATTCACTAATGAAAAATATATGAGGAAACTTCAGTTTCCTTTTCTTTCGCTGTTTACAAACGAGCCCGGCTTTGCCCACACTAGGTGTGAGCAAAGGTGGGGCGCGAAAGCCAGATTCGTGGAAGGTGAAGCATTTGCGCATGCTTCGTGCCAATAGCATAGGGAACCGCGCGTTGGTCTTTAGCTTCAACAAAGGAAAAAAATAAAGAAAATAACCTCGCGTCCAATAAGGTTTCACACTGTAGCAGACACCTGCTACCGGTTTCATGGCACCTATATAAACAGCGATCTCGGTCACTGACGCGACATAATGTTGTCGATATGGAACAGCAATGTACGTATAACCACACATCGTATTCGATGCTGCGCAGCAGCACGAATAAGAATAAACTGTTCTAAATATGATGACATTCTAAGTAGTAAACAATATTTTTTTTTCTTCGTGTTCATCGAGTAACTATCGCATTCTTGGCGCCCAACGTGGGGTTCGCCGTTACGCGTCTTACGCCGGTTCTCAACATGTCGTAGCCCGTGCGAATAAGTCGTCTGCAACGTGGTCCTCTAAAGGCCCGTTCACACACTCGCGTTTGTTTAGGACCATGTTCTTGTCATAGCTATTACGGCGAGAGAAAGCACTAAATACACTGGCACTCAGGTGCCATCTATGAGCTGACCCTGGAACTTCATTTCAATAGAGCGAAGGTTTGGTGGTATTTGTTGTCTATAGGCTCTTATACCATTGTCAAAAAATTTCCAAACCCCCCCCCCCCCCCCCCCCAAGAAAAAAAAAGATGCGCGAAAACCTAATTCGGAAATGTAAAATAAAAAAACACTAAAAATGAAAAAAAATCATAAAAACTTACAAAATAAATATTCATAGACATTGCTAAGTTTTTACCTTTTAAACGCGCGCGCCAAAAATGGGTACATATGTGTGTAGGCGTTGTAACAATGGGTACATACTAAGCGTTGTAAATGAAGATGGGGGGGGGGGGGGGGGTGCAGAGGGGCCAATAGTGGATGCGCACCGGGCGCATTGGGCACATAAACTCACTACATGTACACGCCAAGGGCGGCGTTCTCATTAGAGAGTTTTAGCAGATCGTTTTTTTCGCCCCGATAGCGATACCTCCTCTCCCCTCCGACGGCCTTGGGCATACATCGTATCGTTATCGGGTATCGTTATCGGGGCGAAAGAAAAAAAAAAACGATCTGCTATATCCTCCCCGTTCATCTCTTTAGCGCGCCTCAGCGAGCGCCAACCCCTCAGCCCCTCCTTTCCACTTTTCTCCCTCACGCGTCATTTTGCATCGCGGAGGAGAACACCGACATTGGCTCATTGGCTTGCACTGGCGTTTTTTGGCGCTCGCGTTTGAAAGCAGTACATAAATTTTAAAAAAAGTTTAGCGCTGTAAATTTTTTTTTTAACCAAAAAATTTTTTTTTTCTTTTTTTGCAGAAAAGAATTTATTCGGCACTGATGGGACCTAAGAATACTCTTCTCTACTCGTCTGCGGTGTACTGGCGTGGATGGCCACGTTTGGGTACTGCCGAGGTTGCGGCCGCCAACGACATAGATGCCTCAGGCGCCGCCATGTTCCTCGGCGCCAAGAGGAGCAGAGGCGGCCGCAGCCCCCACCCGCCCTCCCGCAACGCCTGACACGAGAGTGGCGGCCGAGCGCGCGCCATCCACAGCGCCATGGAGAGGGCCTCTCTGTGGGGCGGCGTTCCTTGGAACTATGACGCGCAGCAGCCAATGGGAATTTATCGCCCAGTTCGCTGCTACAGACCACAGGCTTCATCGGGACAGGGGAATTTAGGTGCCGTTTGGCGCGGCTTCAAAAGCTGCATACGAACCTAACGACGAAGTTGCGGGGATCGCATTGTTGGCATGGTCAACGAGGCACTCCAGTGGAATTTTGCGATCGAGCTTTGTGATCCCCGCGTTAAGACAATATTTAGGTGCGGTTCATAAAAGAAGACATGAACAGCGCGTGAGCATTCGTAGGGCGACCAGGTCAAGTTAGTCACGCCACGGTGCCCATGAACCACGCGATCATTATAGGAAGTATTCACTGGACGCCGTATTTGCGGGTGCTGTTTAGAGCGCATGCTCAGAACGAGCTCACATCAATAGGCTGCTAAGACCGGCACTCTCGATGGTGCGGAATGCACGTTGCAAAAAGAACTGTGGAAGCTCGCCATCAGCACGCGCCCAGAATTCGCGCACACAGATATCGCCGCCAGTGAATACTCCCAGTACTTAGTTGAACGCTGGAGCTGGTCACGAGCCGGTCGAGAGTCAATGTGACCAGCGTCTGACATCTCATGATAACGTCGCTTTCATCGCTGCTGCGATCAGTGTCGAAGACTCCGACGAAGCGGGTCAAGCCGTAGAATTCGCCGTCTTGAAATCGCGTGCTCGAAACGTGGAAGGTAAACGTGGAAGCTGAAGCGTGAGACGCAGAGAGTGCCGAGGGCCAAGAGTTGGACCCAAGTCCGCGAGTGCGTGCAAGAGAACGCCGCGCGTTGGGCGGGTGACGACACCGACCCGACAAACGCGGCAGCATTTTCGAATGGGGCGGATTCGTGGGTCCCGCGTATAAATCTAGTTATCTACAAAACTATCGTGCCATTTTCAAAACAAATTTAGCAGGACTGTAGGAATATACAATGTATGTTTATCTCGTATGCTTTGTTTTTGGCGTGTCCAACCCCCAAAATATTGTTTTAATTTTTTTTGCCAGGCAATTTATTATGGTGTCAGAAGACTACCCAATCAATATTTTGCTTTATTGTCACATATATTTTTAATAAAGTCAAAAAGTGCAACTGCTCGAAACCGAAACTGGACTGGGAAGGAGAAAGGTACCGAAAGTCGCGTTGCTGTGCATTTTTTTTTTTATGCCAGCATATTTGCAGTTTTTTAGAAGCCACAAAAAATGGGTATCATATTTTTGTCCATCTCTAGTATTGAGTGTGTGCCTTCGATGATCCACGACTTTGATTACCTTTGGCGGTTGTGTCTAAACCATAGAAGACGGCACGTGACTACGGAGAAGAGAGTGAGCGCGACTCAAGCCGGCCAGTTCTCGATCGGCAGTTTTTGGGGCGGAAAGAAAACTAATTTCGAGCCGCAAGTTGTGTTCTGGGTAGTTGCGTCCTCATAGTATGTCATGTGCAAACAAAAACCTTGGCGGGCAGAAATACCCTGTCAGCGTCCATTTATAAAACGACATCTCGAATGGACGGCCGTATTTTTGGAAAAAAAGAGGTCGAGATTGAACGAGGCCGACGAGGCGCGTTACGTCAAGATTTCTCGTTTCCTCCCCTCTTCGCTTCGCCCCCTCAAGGCGGCGAGGCGGAGAAGACGCGGGGCCGTTCCCTCTCCTTCTCGAAAAACATGACGTAAGCATATCTGTTAAATGCGCCTCCTTTTCTTGAAAAATACGGTCATCCGTTCGAGAAATCGCAGTATGAGTGATGTTTTGGTGTTTGTAGCATCCTGTTGCACGCCTTAAGAAGTTCCGGACAGTTTCGTACCTGACCCAAGATGGCCAGGACTCGCGTTTGCAGTGCCGCTTTGGATGGCACGGACTTTCGCAGCGCATTGTCCAGGAACACGGCCAACTCGATGGTGCGCTCCTCGGGAACAGCCCTCTTCCGCCGACGGCCGGGACCTCCGGGCCAGACTTGCATGCGGGGCGAAGACATATTGCTCCGCCAGAGGGCGTGCTCGGGCTGGCCGCCATCTTGGTCCGGGTGGCACCCAAGAGAGTGGGAAAGGAAGTTATGCAACAACGTGCAAGCGCTGGAAACTGCATGTTTACAAGTCCGGCTTTAGGGCGCTGCCATCTGGCTCGCTGGGGTGCGCTTGGACGCGTCCTAATCCGATTACGAAGCCTTGCTAAGGCGTCATAATCGGATTATGGCCGCGCCCAAGCGCACCCCACTGGGCAAGATGGCGGCGCCCTGAGACCGGATTTACAAACGTGTATACAGATATAATCAAAATAAAACAAAATGATAAATATTTAGCTGATAGGAAAAGCGGCAAGGCATATATACGGTCTCGGCATATCACGATCTATTGTCTCTGCAAACAATTTAGTGTTTATTTTCATCTCAAATACAAAGTGCGCATTGCGGAACGCGCAGCATACGCCCAAATCGAGAGCTAGCGGTCAGAATCAAAGTTGAAAGAGTGCCGTTACCTGACGCAAGAGCTATAAACAATTCTGCTAAATTTTTCATAAACAAAAATGGCGGCCGAGGATGCCCACTGAATACTTGGAGGTAAGTGGCGTCGGCTACAGGAAACGAGCACCGGTTTTAGAGCGCAGCTCTTAGGGGCCCGTTCCCGGCTTGAGCGGCGTCGCCGTCGCCGTCGCCGTCGCCGTCGGCGTAACCAAGGTCATCCCAAGGTCACGTGACCCCACAGGTCACGTGACCCCTCCAGGTCACGTGACCCCTCCCAAGGTCAAGGTCACGTGACCCCACGTGACTCACAAGGTCACGTGACCCCTCGAGGTCACGTGACCCTCGAGGTCACGTGACCCCTCCCAAGGTCATCTCAAGGTCACGTGACCCCGAGACCCCACGTGACCCTTTGAAGGTCACGTGACCCCCAAGTCACGTGACCCCTCTGAGGTCACGTGACCCCCGAGGTCACGTGGTCTCCTCCCCAAGGTCACGTGACCCCCAAGGTCACGTGACCCCTCCCAAGGTCATCTCAAGGTCACGTGACCCCAAGGTGACCCCCACGTGACCCCTCTGAGGTCACGTGACCCCCCGAGGTCACGTGACCCCCCCTCCCCGAAGTCACGTGACACCCCCCCCCCCCGAGGTCACGTGACCGCCCCCCCGGAGCATATTAAAGAATGAGGGGAGGAGGAGGGGTCTACCCTCCCCTCAGTACCCTCCACTCCTCCTCCTCAAGAGCTGCGCTCCAATTCGGCGTTACAGGGATTTGTAAACGGCTTTCACTTTTTTTTCATTAAATTTTTCTTTGAAAATCGCTAAAAAATATATTGATTCGGATAAGGGCAAGCTGTGAAACTTTGAAATCTGGTCCGAACTGAGCGTCCGGTGATGAGTGGATTATTTTTAATATAGAAAAACAAAAACAACGGACTTTCTTTTTTCACGAACACCTGGCGCAGAGCACGACAGTACTACGAAGAAGCGACCGCTAATGTTTTGTTTCTTGAAATTGCCAGCTTTCATCACTACGGCGTACACCAAAACTTTTACAACCTTACATGTGTAAATTAACTTATCTCGGGGCTAACGGGCAACTAACTCCCTTAGGGCGCTAGTTCTGGCAATCATAACGACCGTTCGGGGCCTAAGGATATTTTTTTCGAGCAACACGTTTAGAGGCAGCAGGCACCGCTTCTCACACGCACATAAAAGGCAAATAGAAACGCAATAAAACAACGCACGCAAAAAAATTGCGACCTTCATTATACTCTTTCACCGCCTTATAAACCACCATGCAGAGTTTAAAAACACTCATTCACAATCAAAGGCAACCGCCTGTGAATGCCCAGTTGCACGGCGCCACCGTTTCGACCCAGTGACGACAGAAACACGAGTTAATTGCTGCTTACCGGTGCTTACTTTTAATTCGAACAGATTTATTTAAAAAAAGAAAATCAGTAATAGATACACTAAATGCGGTTCAAATGCAGGCGTGTTATACGCCCAAGGGGACATCATATTAACCGGTAATCTTCACGATAAATCGAAGAATCAACAAAAACTTCTTTATTATACTTTGAATTAGCGAAACTAAACGTATAGTTTCAATTGAAAACTTGCTGAGCATCATCGAAAACCACTAAATTAGTCAATTCTAAAGCAACTTGATGCCCGACTGCTGCACGAGTGCACTTTTGCGTTTCCCACGAGCTTTAAATTTTACCAATTTAGTGGCTTTCAAAAATGCTCAGCAAGTTTCTAATTGAAACCATACGTTTATTTTCACTGACTAAAAATATGACCAAAAAATTTATTTAATTTCTCACCCGCCAAACTCAAGAAACACCTAGCGAAGCTGCTAGCAGTTTGCACTTTTTTTTTTAAATAATTTTTTCCATTAAAAAAAAGTATTACTCAGTATAAGCAAAACACGGAGGTGGAGGCTGGTAAAGCAAGTAAAAAAGAGTGAAGTCTAGAGAACTCAGATCGGCGGCCGACGCTTCACTGGCTGGTTCAGGCACTGGTTTTGCTTACGACCAAGTGCTTGGGATCTCTTAGAACATGAAAACACATTCGCACGCTGGCACCATCCCAGGAACTGCACTTCATCAAAATGGTTTTGCTGTATTTGAGAGCTCGAATTGACGTAATATATATATAGGAGACGGTCGTTTACACCATTGTCAAAATTTTTGTTTTGTTTTTAACTTTGAAAAAAGAAAAAAAAAACAAGAAAGATGCGCGAAAAAAAAAAAAAGAAATATTCGCGGAAATGCTAAATGCAGTGATATAATTGGTCTGAATAATTTTGGAGCAGCTTTAGGAGCAGAGCAAAGCCAATTTCGGAGCAGCCAAAAGAGCTTTTAAAGCCATAAGCGCGCACTTCTCCTTCATTCGTATCACTTCAAATATTACGTTAAGATCCATCTGTCGGCCTGTCCAACTAAAAGGCTATGTCTACTTTGCCTTTTTGTTGGCATCGATTGCACAGCAGGAGCGGTTCCCCCAGACAAAGAACTTCGGTTGGTTGATAGCATGTAAGCACCAAACACGGGAACAAGAAGGTGACTGGTAAAGGACAGCACAAACTGTCGTGAATGGTTATTTTATCCACGGAATCTCACTGAACTAATGTTAGAACACAATAATATTGAGCACCTAAATGTATGTTTTCTTCGGGTTCTATACTAAGTTGAAATAAAATCGCAATCCTTAACTCAGGTGAAAAAAGAAGCGTACAAAACAAACATAAAGAAGAGTACATATAAATATTCTTTCAATAACGAAATTTTCCTCGCTAAATCTCGAATTGGAAAAAGATGCCGCCAGGATACCGTAGTCTATCGCATACACAAGCCAAAGTTTTGTTTAGAAATCGCGCCACGTCTCGCTCTGGAGGTCTGCTTTCCTCTTAGTGCGGGTGTGCTGCGGCAAAGCGACACACAACGTCGAGATGCCTACTCCGCGGCATTCGCTTTACTGCAGTACACCAGTGTGTAGTGAAAAGCGCCCTCAAGGAAACTAACGAACCCGCCAGAACAGACCACAAACATGAGAATTCAGCTCAGTGGGACATCTGTGCTTCATATTAAATGAAGCTACGAGTTCAAGGAGATAGCCTGGCACACGACGTTCGCACGCGACGTTCGAGGCACGAATGTTTCGATAAGAACGTATGCGTAATGTAAGAAAACGTAAGGAAGCGGTGCTGTGTGAACCAACCTTTACTGCGAAACTTTCGAGTACCGTCAGTGTTCGACGCGAAATGAAATCGAATAGTAGACGTTGTGTGAGGCGATCATCGAACGTTTTGAAAACCCGCACAGAGCATGTACTAAAGATCCGGTCGGGGGGGCCCGAGTTATTTATTTTCCGTATTAGTGTACTAGCGGAAATGAAGTTTTGACGTAACGTTGGCGCTAATTCCTCATCGTTTGGTACAATGTAGTAGTATGGCGCAAATGGCACAGCACTCACATGCAACATCACTGCAAGTGTTCCACCGCTACGTGAAAGATGGCGCCAGTGTGTTTTCTCTATCTCTCTCTTTCTCTCTCAAGAGTGTGAACGAGACTGTCTCCTAGCCCAGAAGGAACTAAAGTCCAGTTCACACACTTGCGTTTGACTACGACTGACTGACACAAGACCGACTTTTAAGCCTCGTGTGATGTCTCACAATTGACTGCGCAGCTAGCAATGCGGCGACCGATCGTAAGCCGTCACAAGAAGCTTAAAACAAGTTTTTTTAGCCTCTCCGGTTGTAAGTATAGTCGCAAGTATATGTGAACCCCTCTTCGGTCTCTTAGCGATGCGTTGATCGCCGACCTGAGGCCTCCAGAAGACTCCTCGTTTTCATACACCGACTCGGCGAGTCCATAATGCAGATGTTGCACCGTAGATGTCAAGCGTGTCCACGTACCAAGACTTCCAGAAGGTGCCACGCTGAGGACCTGCCCGTCTCCGGTGACGAGAAGCGCGTGGACGCTTCCGTCTCCCCCTGGACACGCTGTGACCACAGCTCGGCCCCTTCTGGCACGGCGTCCTCCGACGCTCTGCACGGCGGGCTCGAGCACGGGCCCCTGAAAGCTGCACTCTCTGGGCAAGACCGGCACGTTGGATAGGCTCTTGTCCGGTCGTAGATGCACGTAGTACAGGCGTTCCTTGGTCCGTACGGAGAGCAGAGGGTACTCGAGGAACACCCGAACTTTCTCTTGAGACGCGTCGTTCTCCCGAGGAGCACCGTTCACCTGTCGGCACGCGCAATGAAAACGGCGTGTAGCTGGTGGCGTTTACGAGAGGCTTGGGCAGTCGGAATAGACCGATCTCACCAGCTAGTTTGAGTACGCCACCGCTGCCGCCATGCATCGTGGGAGCTGTAGTCTTTCTGCACGCGCGACAACCCCGCTGGAGGTCTGCGCGAGCAGAGCAGGAGGGTGCATGAGCTGTCTCGTGAACTGGCGTCTGCCTCCTCTGAACTACAGTTATGGCGGCGTCACGCATGCGTGGAACGCTTGGTGAGATCGGTCTCTTCCGTCTCGCCACAAGCATACCTTGTAAAAGCACTCCTCAAAAGTGAACATATCTTAAAGAATATCACCCAAAAAGCAAATCTCATAGAGATATTCTACTAAAAGCTCCTAGAGAACATCGCATAAAATCAAGTCTCCTAAAGCAGATTTTTGAACATCGCAATGGCTTCCGCTGTCAACCGCAGCGCGCTTTGTGTGGTCATATGAGCATGATGACCAGCATAGTCGTGCAGAATTCTTCCATGAGCTAATGGGCAATATTGCGGACCATTTAAGTTGCACATGGTTGAAAAAAAAACGAGACTGCGGGTAAACGACACAACACTAAAAGGTCTCTAAAAAGTTGTGTCGTTTACCCGCAATGTATACACCAGCTCGTTTGCGCCTTTACGTTTTGTTCATTTAAGTTCTTCCCGGGGAAATGAATGCATTTTTGCGGAAACAATTACATTTTAATCTATTTGGACTATATGAATTTGTCGCAATTGTAATTCTCGGAATATTATTATTATTATTTTTTTTTACATCTTGAGCAGAAATCAGAGATATTACAAAAATTGTTTATAGGACCAAATAAATAATAAAAAATAAAAAAAAAAGATGTCGGGCTTATGATTGACGAAAAATATACATTCCGGAGATTTTCAATACTATTGTATTTTTTCCGTATATAATTATTATAGGGAATATAAATAAGTTGCAGTTGCTTGACTAAAATTGATCTTTTTTTTTTTTTCTTTTTTTTAGAATGATTGGTTGAGGAACGAGTGTTCCGCATGCCAGTTAACAAAGTTCGTACGTATACCAACAATGCGTTCTCGTTGACTGAGTTACCCCTCATTCACACTGGAAGCGGATCCGCGTTCGCGAAGCGGTTGCGAACGCGGTTGTATAAAGATCCAGTGCATTTGCACGCGCATTTGATGTCATCAAATGCGCGTGCAATTGTACTGAATCCTTATACAACCGCGTTCGCAACCGCTTTGCGAACGCGGATCCGCTTCCAGTGTGAATGAGCCCTTACTCCCACATTGTGGTGCCTGCAACGCGTCTGTGTGTTTACCGCGCCCAAAAAAGTGGTCCATTGATTTCCGCCTTATGACTTCATAGAAGTGTAGTGCTGTTGCCAGCCGCGATCCTGGCGGCGTACGCCTGTTCTGCTGTAGGTCGCTTTCCACTGTGACAGTTCACGGTAGCTACAGCAGCCGGAAGTTGGGACGCCGTGACGACAACGACACTCGCGTTCGCTCGTGCTTTTCGCCAGCGTTTCTGCGGCCAACCGCCAGGATCGTGACAGGCAACAGCATGACACTCCGGCTTCTGTGACGTCATTTGTTGCCCCTTCGGGACCACTTTTGATGTATGGGCAGCATAGGACGCTAAACACACACGTCGGAGACGCGATCCAGGCACCATACCCACATGCTGAACCCAGTAAAGAAAACATGAATTCAGTACAATCTTCGAAGTCTCCCAGAAACGAGCATCGGGGTCCGGCCCCCGCGTGAACTCCGTACACCCCAGCCGGAGCACGCGAACGCTCTTTCAGGGCCCATGTAAGATGCATACCCTGAGAAGCCGGGAGGTGTCCAAAGATCCGTCGGTGCAGGACCAGTGCATTGTCGGTGCAGGTTCGGTGCAAGTTCAGTGCGAGTTCAGTGCAGATGAGTGCAGTCCCGAGCAGGCGGGATGGTGAATGTATGAAGGCTGGCGACATGCATGCACACACACAAGAAAGATGAACACTTCTACACTACTCAGCCTGATTCCCTCCCTCCCCTCTGTTCACATGTCGAATGGGAAGTGCCACACTTCACTTATCTCTTAAATGCCATTGAGTCTCAGAGGCCTTCACTGAGTCCATAAAAGGGCTTAACCTTTCTTTTAGAACATGCACAGCATGCATCCGTGCCGCAAAGCCATTCCACTATTTGTTTCTGCGCGCTGCCTGTTCAAAGGGACATAGAAACCATTCTGAGCATGCGCGAAAATCTATCTTCTGTGGAATGAAAAATGCCAGGCATGCGTCCACAGTCGAGTGACTCAGCATTTTTCGCTTTGGTGATGTGCGCTGGAAAGGTGTACAGAATAAGAACCTACAGGTCAGGCGACAGAGCACAACGACACCTAAGTATAAATCCAAAGTTGTTGCCGCACTGTTTCGCTTACCGCTACGGCGGCTGCAGCCGTCCCAACGCAGCAGCACGAGCAGACGAACGCCAGAAACAGAACCGATGCGTTCTCGGCGACGACCATGATGCTGAATGGCAAGACCTTGGCTTCGGTCGCTCCGTGCGCTCGGCCATGACGGGCTTCCGGAACGCAGTCCGCCTATATGCCCCTCTGCCTCGGGGGCGGATCACGTGGCTGCACGCCGTCGCCTAGATCAGGTGTACGCGATCCAGAGATATGCCCCCCCGAGGAAGGGCCCAGGACGGAGGTCCTCGAGCCCTTGCGACATCGGTACGCCCGCACCGCAAGCGTCACTGAAGCGATCCCTGTCATCGTGACGATGACTCATGGAACTGGCTTCCCGGTGTTTGCAGGGGTGCGAGACAGTACAATAGAGACGAACAAAACGGTCGTGTAGAACACTGTGCAGTGACAAAAGACTCAATAAACACAAAGTTGGAGAAGAAAAAACAAATTAAACCAGATTTAACTTCCGTATGAATTTCAACCTGGGTCTGCCTTGCATGTGCGGCGACACTGGTTTAAAGATGGGAAATTTAGCCAGTGCAGTGCCCCTGCTAGGTTGGGGTTTTTAAACGTGCATCACGCAGCAGTGCTTGTCCATGGATCAAAACGGGGCAGGAGTGGGGATCGAACCCAGGACCCTGCTCTGCAGCGGGAGCTCTCGCCCCACTATGATGCGGCAACGGCGCTCGGCAATCGATCCCCCCCCCCCCCCCGAGTTGGAACCAGAAGTTTGTGGAGCGCGCCGAGCGCACTTCGGTGACAAAAGCGCGGCGTCATTGTCGCGAGGGTCCAGGTATAACTTAAGAGAGCTCCTAAGAGCACGTCATTTCGGCACGTCAAAGCCGGGAGACGTGCGGTATCTACGTGAAGGACTTCATCGCATATATGCCAGTGGTCAAGCGAGCCTTCCCGACGCACTTTAGACAGTGAGTTCCCACTGTCAAGAATCACGACGCACACATTTGCACCTTTAAGGGTGTAATAAGGGTGTTTCCACGACTTACACCTTCGGCTGCGTTCAACACCCTTATTTCGAGTAACGGACCGTTTTTAATCGGAAAATGCGGTGTTGTTGCATGGAACATCCTATTTTCTTTCCCCATTTTTTTTTCTTCCGAAGGGTGTAAAAAGGGTGTGGAAAAGGATGCTGCGACGCAGTGCAGTGGAGCTTTGGCGAAAAATGACTAAGCGACTACGTGGAATAATTATTGCCTTTACTCATTATTTTTACTTTTAGACACATTCCCCCAGTTTCGCGATATATAGTATGTTTTACGTAAAAATATTACCGAGGACAAAGCAACATACTTGTAACGTTCGTAACTGCGGAAGCACTCGCCTGCGAATGGGTTTGCACACTTTATTGCGCATGCATTTAAGGTTCCTGTGCACATGACAACTGTATAGACCTTTTCAGCGGCAGTCTCGAACGAAGCGAGCGGGCAAAAAATGCTGAGTCACTGAGCTGTGGACGCATGCGCAGCGTCCGATATACCGCACAGCAGATCAACAGCGCATGCTTGGAAGGCGTTCCACAACCCAGCAGACAAAGATGGCAGCGCGCAGGAGGCGATTTCTGCAAAGGTCTATACGGTGCATTTTAAACTTTAGCACCATAATTTAGGGTGTACTTCAGCACCCCAAGGGTGCTGCCGTAACAACCTTAAATCCGCGGTCACAATACTCTCACATGTCACAGAAGGCAGTCTACAGAACACCGTCTGAGGCTGGCAACGCTGAAAGCGTGACGTCAGATGTTGCAGCATGGAGCAATACGGGGGCATTGCAGGTCGTTCCCGTCGGCTTACAAGAAGGTTGACGGTGTGAAAAGGAATGCTGGTTAAGCTGTTTTTAAACGGTTTAGACTGCGTTGTTTAGACCGTTGTTAAGTGTGTGTTGTTTAGACTGTGTAGTTCAGACTGCCTGTTTGCTCAACTTGCAAGTTATACAACATGCATGTTATACAACATGTTACGTCGCCCCAATGGAGAACGCGGGAAAGTTTGAATGTTTGTTTTGGCATCAGCTTTGTTTGCCCATTGCTCAAAAGCCATTTTGATTTTAAAGATGATATATAGTGTGCCCGAAAAAGTAAAGCCTGTCTATTCCGAAATTGTGTTTAAATTGGATGGTTAACAAAAGAAGGAAAAAAAAAAAGAAGTCTTAATTTGTGTCTATTTTCTTCTGTTAGTGGTTCTCAATTGTTTTCAAATTGCTCCTAAAAATACAGTTTTTTTTTACTAAGCTGTGCAAATTTGACAAGCTTGTTTACAGGTTTGCGCTACAAACAACCGTTTCAGGGTTCAAGCGGAAACAACACGTGCCGTTCTTTTAGTTTTAGTTTTCCTGTCAACAGTCATCCGCTGCTCTTGCGCACTTTGTTTTTGGAAGCGCGCGCTTCCAGCCCGGCCGTGGTTTTTGATAGGTTTCACAACACAGTTCGGAAGCTTTCTTTGACACAGCCATCAGCGACAGAAGTGAAAGAGAGAGCCACACAATGCCAGGGTCGGGGGACACCCAAAGAACGCCACTCCGAAATTTTCCGTCACGGGACAAGTCAATTTCAAAAATGCACACCGCTCTAAGAACACGAACAAAAAAAAAAAAAAAAAAAAAAAAAAAACTATTCCGGGCTTGCACAAGTTACTAGAAAAATAAATAATAAAGATTCGAACAAAAGATGTTTTGTATGTATACGTTTATGGTGTCATGTCCCAATCCGGCTGAAGTGTCCATTCGGCTGATGGCTGAATTTGGCTGAAAGGACCAATGTCCAATATGGCTATAAGATCTTCCATTCGGTTAAATTCCCAGCGCCATAGACCCTTCTCGTGTGACGGTTATGTGACTTTTTTGGGGGTTGGGCGACAAAAGCTAGAGTAAATAGTTAAAGCATAACTGCAATAATAATAATAATAAAGTAAAAATATAGGCACGAATCCCCTCGGATTCCAACACCTTCCGATCGGCGAATAAAGAGATTTGCCTTCTGGCCGCAGCCATTTTTGTCTATATATCTGCGCGGTCGAAGGCGTTCTGAGATTTCGCAGTGGCTCTCTTCATGATATACGAGACGCCGCACATGCGCCCACAGTCCAGTGACTCGGTATTTTTCGTCCCGGCGATAAGCGCTGGAGAGGTCTATAGGCAACCTGCAATGCTGTTTGGTTTGGCGCCGTCTAGCGACTGAAGCAAGAAATATTGGGTACCCCTGGAGTGCCGGCTGCATTGTTCAAACTTGAGCTTTTACTCTGGTGGCGCCGCTTAGCCCAGTGTCTGAAGCAAGAAATACTGGGTATCCCAGGAAGCCGTGATCGCGTAACGTGCCAGTAGAACGGAAGCTACGGCCCTGGGAGGCCAATCGGAACGTGACTGCGTACCACCGGAGCGCGCCTCAACTCCGAAGAAGAATCAGGCTTTTCGCTGCGTCATGCTCCAATATGTGTGCGTTGCGCTCGTATACGTCGCTCATTTCGATGCCTTTAGCACGCAATGTGGGGCTTATCGTTCACCCTTTGCCAAGTTACAACGAGACAGGGCATAACCGTGCGCTCACACCCTGCTGGCGCCGCCTATCTATTGCCGGCTGGCTATACAACGAGGTAGAGGTACTTAGAGTGATAAGCCGGATGCAACGTTACTAAAACACTCAGTTGGGAAACTCCCTTAGAGACAGCTCTGAAAAAGTGATCCCAATCTGTCTCCGAGCACCGAGCTAATGACGAACACAACGCCACCATTTCTCCCCCAGCGGCCACTCAAAGAACTGCACGTGACTTCCATTTTGGCTTTAAGAACAGATACAGCGGAAGAGGTACCTCGAGGTTCCACCACCGTCTCCCCGGCGGACGCGCCGCGTCGAAGTACCGAAGTTAAAATGCCCCTAGGTCGGGACGCGCTACCTGAAAGCCCCGCTGAGGCATGGTTGTATAAAAACAATATTGTGCCGCAAAACCCTGCAAACTAAAAATTTTAAAAACATAACGCGCCCCTCTTTTTGTAATAAACTCCAATAAATTTCATACAAAAAGAGTCTTTTCCATTTGTTTTTACGCAAAAACAGGCTTTCAAAAGCTCAAGGTGACCACAGTACAGACAAACGATAAAGAGTGGCGCTGTTGTCGCATTTAGCTCGGTCTCGGTGGACGCCCGCGGCCCAGGTTTCGACGGCGAGTTTCCCAACTGAGTGTTTTAGTAACGTTGGCCGGATGTGATGTTCAAAAGTTGCTCAAAAGTTGTTCAAAAGTTGTTCTTGGACATGTTCACGTGAACGAAGTTCACGATGTCCGGCCTGATAGGCGCCTTGAAGACGGCCGGCAGGGCCACGTGGGTCCCGGACAGCTCGTTCTTGTCATTGTACACGTTTACGAGGGGCCTCGCTATGGTATACGCCATTTTAACGCTTTATGTTACAGTTGTCACCGATCGCCTTTGCATATGGCGACGTCGGAGATGAAAAAGGTGCCCCCCCCCCCCCCTTCCCTTTGCATATGGCGACGTCGGAGATGAAAAAAGTGCCCCCCCCCCCCCCCCCCCCCCCGGTTGCAGCCATGTTGTACGCAAAAGTAACTACTCGTCCCGTGACCAATTGACCTTGCCGTGACCTCGCAAGAGCCGTGACGTCACCGATAAGATGGCAGCGCCCAGAGCTAATGGATGGGAGTGTTTTTCTTTTTGTTTTCTTTTTTCTGTGTGCGGTAGCTGTGATGTACCGCTGCTTGCCGACGATGTCGGGCTTCTTCGTGCTCTCTGATGCAGGTATAACTTGAAGATCTGAAGGAATGAGACTTTATACCTTTTTTGCGAAAGATCGCTTTGGACATCAGCACCTGTGAGACAGAATCAATCGTATCGCCGTAGTGGTGCTCGGATTCCCGGATGTGTTCCAGGGTCGATATAACTTTTAGTGCATTTAGCGTGACATTTTCGCATTCTCCTAGCTTTGCTTGAGCGTTTGAATGTCTGAGAATCAATGGGAATTGTATCCGTCGGATGCACGCAGGGTTTAGGGGAAGTTGTTTCAGCCCTAGGTAACCGCATAATTACAGCAACTTTTA